TTCTTACTGATCAAAAGTTAATGATTTTATTATTATTTTCGCTTATTAGGTTTGCAAAGCTTAAAAGAACCAATGATAGCTCGTGTAAGTGAGGGTGTATGCATTAAAAATGCTCATGCAGTGCTGGAGGCAGTGTGCACTGAGGGGGATTGGGGGGGTGAGTTGGCAGTATCTACCAATGTTTACATATGCACGGTCTTGATTTGGCAGTTACACTTCCATAAATCTAGGCTTCAAGAATGTTGGTGTTTGCACAAAGAAGGCAATCCACAGTAGCTCTGTTTGTAAAAGGAAAATAAGAATCATGTCAACATCTACTCATGAACCAGGGCTGACAGATGCTGCTTGCTATCTTAGGTACAGGCTGGGTGTGGAGAGTATGTGAGGCCCTGGGTTGAGCCCCAGAACCACAGGTAGGAAGTTATGCTGACTTCTTTCTGTCCTGGAGTGAACTGGGCCTCTGCTATTGCCCTGAAGTAATTCTCCCCAATCTCCCAGCCCCCAGCCCTCACCATCCTGTACTTCCTTCTAATACCTATATGGGTTTTTTTCTTACTTCTTATTCTTTTTCCTGGAGCACTTTTCTCCCAAGCTTCCCCAAGTTTTCTTTCTCCTCCCTTTGTGTGTCTGCACCAGCATGCTTTACAATGGGCCTTCTTTGACCACTCTACACTGTGGGGACACTCCCTCCCCGTTCCTCACCTTGCCTGTTGTCTTTCTGTTTCATTTCCAAGGTGATGACCTGTTCTCCACATCCCTGTCATCATTTGACACATAATCTGTGTCCTTGCTTATAAACTTCAAGAGGGCTGAGGCTTTTGCTAGTCTATCTCCTTCAGAGGATTCTCGCCATCTACAATGGTGCCTAGTATACCATAGAAGCTTAGTAAATATTTATTGATGCATAAAATAACATTTTTGCTTTTATGTATGCATAAAAGTATATAAAAGAAGCAAATTTTAGCAGTGTTGGAAAGTAGGATTGGGGAGATGTGGGAAGAACGCTTACCGCTATAGATTTCTGTACCATTGGAAGTATATAAGCATAATGGTTTCCCCTCTCCTTTAAGGTCATTAAAACACCTTCTTGGGGCTCTACTTGGATATGGTTTGAAGGATACATGTGTTGAAATTTAATATTCATTATTATTATTGTTGTTATTGTTATTAAGCTAAGATCTCTAGAGGAAGACTTTGGAGAGAAATGATTAGAATGATATAAATTCATGAGAAGGGGACCCATGTGACTGAACCCTGGTAGCTTAATAAGAATGGGGAGAACAAGCCGGGCATTGATGGCGCACGCCTTTAATCCCAGCACTCAGGAGGCAGAGGCAGGCAGATCTCTGTGAGTTCGAGACCAGTCTGGTCTACAAGAGCTAGTTCCAGGACAGTCTCCAAAGCCACAGAGAAAACCCTATCTCAAAAAACCAAATAAATAAACAAGGGTTAACTCTTGAATCCCAGGCTGATGCCTGGGAATCCAGCATGGGACTGATCAAGACCCCCTGACTGGGGGTGTCAGTGAGGAGGCCTAGGTAATCTATTGAGCCTTGGGCAGTAGATCAGCATTCATCCGAGTATACACATGGACTTTGGACTCCCATCCAACAATGTAAGATGCACTCTCACCCTCAACTCTTGGGGGAGGGTTTGGGCCCTGCCCTGGATGAAATAACAGACTGTGGACACCCCCATGGAGGGCCTCACTGTCCCTGAGGAAATGAGGGGATATTGGGGGGGGTTAGTGGGAGGGCACGGGAGGAGGGGAGGGAAATGGAGAGGGACCTGGAACTGACTTGTGAAGCAACCTTGTTTCTAATCTAAATTTAAACTTAAAAATAAATAATAAAAAAATGCTTTTGCAATAAAAAACCAAATAAATAAATAAACAAACAAACAAACAAAAGAACGAGAACAATTCAGGTACTCAGGAGCGTGAGGCAGGAGGATCAGTTGCATCCGTAAACTCAAGGACCCAGGGCCACACAGCAAGACACGAACAAAACAAAACACACAAAAAAAAAAAAAAAAAAAAAAAAAGAGGGAGAAAAATCAAGCTGGGCGTTGGTGGCTAGTTCCAGGACAGGTTGCAAAGCCACAGAGAAACCCTGTCCTGTCTTGAAAAACCAAAGAAAAAGAACCACATGTGTGCCCTCATCTCCTGCCATCTGAGGCCCTGGGCCCCCTTGAGACTGTGTCCAAAAGAAAGCCCTTTACATCCTATATGCAGAATCATACGCCAAAATAAATCTTTTTCTTCGTAAAGATACCCAACCTCCAGTGTTTTGTTACAGTAACAAGAACAATAATAACAGAAGCTGAAGGTATTTTCTAAAAGGAACCAAGGGCGTTCCTAGGCTTGTCTCCATTGTACATGCCAGCTAGAGTTCTCTCCTTCCACCATGTGGATCCCAGACATCAAACTCAGGTCACTGGCCTTGGCTACAAGTGTTTTCTCTGCTGAGCCATCTCACAGCCTCCTTTTTGCTTAGTGTGCTGGACCCTTCTCCGTACCCACATCCTCCCTCCCTGACCACTCCTGTGCTGTGCTCTTCCCACAGGAAAGCCTCCAACAGTGCTGCCTGACTTGGTCCCATGTTGGATACAGGATTCATTTTTAGTGTTAGACTAAGCTTTTGGGAAAACATACTCTTAAAAAAAAAAAGCCCATGCCAGGTGGTGATGGTATGCACCTTTAATCCCAGTATTTAGGAGGCAGAGGTGGGCAGATATCTGTGAGTTCAAGGCCAGCCTGGACTAGAGAGTGAGTTTTAGGATAGCCAGGGATACTCAGAGAAACCACGTCTCAAAAAAGAAAGAAAGAAAGGAAGGAAGGGAGGGAGGGAGGGAGGGAGGGAGGGAGGGAGGGAGGAGACAAACCAAACCAAATTTAGCTAATAGACATGCCAGGGACATATTTGAATACCACAACAATTTAACTTTGTTGGTGTCCCCACAGGCTTGTGGCCCAGAGGCCTGAGTTAGTAAAGCCTGTTCTTCTTGGGCTTTGCTCCCCTAGTCATAGCACTGCTAACATGACCCTTGAGGGTCCACAGGCCTTGACACTAGTCTTCCTGAATTCTTTTTTTTAAAATTTTTTTATCATTTTTTATTTTAATTTTAAATAGCTTGTTTTACATGTCAATCCCAGTTCCCTCTCCCTCCCCTCTTCCCGCACTCCCCTTCCCCCCCTCCCTCCCACGCTATTGCCAAATCCTTCCACATAGGGGATATCTAGAGTCTGTCATTTTACTCTTGGTAGGGTCAAGGCACTCGTCTTCCTGAATTCTTGACTGTCCACAAAATCTCCGCGATGAACCCACAGTCCTTGCCCCCAACAGGCCTGGAAAGGGAGGGGCTGCAGTTCAGCTCCCAGAGACCAGAAAGAGGACCTGTCCGGCTGCTTGCCTGAGAATTCATTCCACTCACCCTAGAAAGCAGGGCCACAACAGCCAGCTCTTGTCACTAATTTGGTATGGAGACTGGAACTCTGAGGAGTCCAAGTGAGAAACCAGCCAGCTGGGTTTACTGCCCCCTTTTCTTTTTAAGAAAATCAGCTGGAATAAGAGTCAAGACGATCTGGGAACTGGCCCCTTGTGAACAGTTACTTTCAGTGTTCTCTAAGCTCTGGCCAAGCAGCAGATTGGAGCTGTGACTCTCACTGAAAGTTCGCCAGCACGAAGCTAGCTTCAGCCATGCCCACGCAAAAACACCCTCACCCCGTCTCTTTAACTGCGCTCTACTGCTCGGGCCCAAGAGTCTCCTGACCCTTCAGAACAGGCCTCTGCTTCTTCTTGGGGGATCTGATTACTGAACTCCACCTTACACAGGCGTGAATCAAACTTTGGAATTAGACTATAAATCCAATCTTTTAAAAAAGCTATTATGCTTATTACTTGGGGGCATGCGCAAGGTATGAGCGGGGTGTGTATGGGTTTGTACATGCATGTGCATACATGTGGGAGTCGGAAGACAACCTAGAGAGTTGTTCCTCAGACAACATCCAGACTTTCCTTTTGAGACAGGGCCTCTCACTAGGACCTGGGGCTCTCAAATTAGGCAAGGCTGGCTGGCCTCTCCGGCACTGGAATTACAAGTATGCACCACCAAGCCTAATTTTTATGTGAGTGCCAGGGATCGAATTCAGGGCCTAGTGCTTGCATGGCAAGTGTTTTGCTGGCTCAAGTTATCTCCCACCAATGAAATTTTCAGCAAGAGAACATAGACCTCAGCATTCATGTTGTTGCCTGTAGGAGATTCTGGTCCCTGCCAGGTAAGATTATGGCTAGGTCAAAGGAGCTGGGACAAGGTTGCCTTCCAAGCAGATAAAGAACCAAATCAATCACATTTATAAAGGGAGACCACAACTTCCCTCTGTGAGGATTCTCAGACAATTTTTCTTGTAACTGCACAGAACAAATGTCACATCTGACCACCCCAGAGTCTCTTGGATTTAGAAACAATATTTGATCTGAAGCACACACACATGCACAGACCAACAACACACCATAGAACTGACTGCCTGGAGCCTCAGCCCGAAGCCCAGGTGTCTCCAAGATACCTATGTGCCCCCTACCTCTGCCTTTGCACAAAACTATGGACAGAAATGAGCTCATTCATTGCCACCAGGGGCCAAGCCAAAGAATAGTAACTCCAGAGACTGTGACCACAGAGTGTTATGAAGGCTCACACTAGCTAGGCAGCATTGCCAAGCCTGCATTTGCCTTTCTGTCCTTCAGTTCCACAGACACTGCCTACCACAGACCAGCAAGCATGCCAGGTATGAGGAAAAGACAGGTAAGTTAGCCTCAGCTACTAGGGAGCCCTGGTGCTGGTGAATACACACACAACAGCCAGCATAGGAGCAAAAGCCTCCCTGATGTTCTCTGGAGTGAGCCCAGGGAAGGAAGCATGACCCAGGTCTCTCACTGGCTCCCTTGTTCACATGTCTAGCACTCCAGGCAGATCTGTCAGTCATCACACCTTGGGCTACTCACCACACTGGTTTTCTTCTTGGCCCTGACCCACTCCACAGGTCTCCTCCCGCTGTTTGGATGCTCTGGGGGACTTTTTAGCCATACTGACGTCCATGCCTGAGAGCTGCAAGTAAAACTGTTCTCTGTGGGCAGCCTTCTTGAGTGTGCGGGTGGCTTTCCGTAGCCTCTTCTCGGTCCGCTTTACCATGCAGCTCAGATTGCAGGAAGCTGTGGAAATGGGGGACAGGGTGGGGGTTGGGGGATGGACAGCAGCATGGGGACAAGTCCACAGGCTGCAGTGAAGGTGTCCAGGCTAGACCCACCAACACCCCAAGTCCCTGGAGCTGGGAACCTAGCAGGCTGAGCAGCATTCAATTCAAACACAGATTTGTGGGAACCAAATGCTTTGGGTTTTGTGAAGTGGAAGGGGGGAAAACTCTCCATCAGATTCTAAACAAATTTAGTGTAATTTGTAAGGGTGAAATCAAACAGGAGATACTTGAGGGCTTACACTAGTTTCTGCCCTCACCCTCCACCCCCCCCCCCCCCCCCAGAAACGATGGAAAATGAAAGGCAAAGAGAGAAGGGACGAGTCCCAAGAAGCCTGGCACTGCAGAAGGCTTTCAGACCAACCTGTCACCTCCTTTTTGTAAGTTTCTCGTTCAAACTCAACCGTGATAAACATTTCCTTGGGGGCTCCTGGGACTTGCTTGCCAGAGCTGCAAGTAAGGTTTGCATACTGGAAGCTCTCTTTTACTGAGCTGTGCCTCTCTGTATGAAGAAACAAAAAATGATCGGAAGCCAAGTCCTGGCAGGCCACTAAACTGAGCATTCGTTAAGGCTCAGTAAACATTTCATTACAACCCTCTAGGGACCGTGTGATTCACTCCACATGCTGAGCCATTGCCAGCCCCTAGCCTGGAGTCCTGGGACATTTTCATTACTATGTAACTTTTAGTCTAGTTCTTGAACATTTTTTTTGGTGGGTATTATCTGGGTGTCTCCCATTGGCCAGTCAAATATGCAGAAAACAAGAACCAGGGGCCTAAGGTTGTTTTGTATTTCTGATGACGGCTAGCTAAGGTGGTGGGTGTTCTCACAGTGGTTTTTCTCAAAGTTGCCTGGGATGGCCTGATGCTGAAACTTCAAACAGGGAATGAAAGGAAACTAACCCCTGCTTCCTGTTCAACTGACCTTGATGTAACTCCATCCCAGAGGGAGAGACAGAATGGACATCAGTGGTGATGTCTCATTTCAAACACCAACAAACAGTAAATAGCACAAAGATTACCAGAACCAAACAGTGTCACAAAACCATGTGAAATGGAATGTGGACTGCTTGCTCTAAGACAGGCTTAGCAGCCGGTGGTGGTGGCCCAGGCCATTAATCCCAGCACTCAGGAGGCAGAAGCAACTGGATCTCTAGAATTTGAGGCCAGCCTGGTCAACAGAGTGAGTTCTAGGAGAGCCAGGCCTACACAGAAAAACCCTGCCTCAGAAAAACAAAACAAACAAAAAAAAGGAGATAAACTTTGCATTGCCCCTATTCTTTATTTTCATGGTGTCCGCTCAGCCCAAGGCTTCTGATGAGTCTGTTGACTCAATAGACAGAACTTAACCAAATGAAACTACAGAGCAGGGCCACATATCCACAAAATCTAATTGCACATCTTTTAAAACTGACTGAACTAAAGGTTATCTGTGCTATAGACCATCCAGGCCAGACTTCCTCTGTTTCTTCCAAACAAATTCATTTTTTACCTATACTTTTCCCCAAACATAAATTTTATAATTTTAAAAGATATTTTTATTTTTATTTATGGATGTATGCCACATATGTACAAGTGATGAGGAAGCCAGAAGAGGGCATTGGAGTTTGAGTTACAGGCAGTTGTGAGATGACCAACGTGGGTGCTGAGAACTGGACCTGGGTCCTCTAGAAAAGCAGCCAGTGAGTGCTGAGTCACAGCCATCTCTTCAGTCCTAGTTTATATTCTTAAAGAGCTAACCACAACGCTTAAATGGATTAAATTAGAATTTGTTTTCCGTTCTATTTTTGTGGGGTGTGTGTGTGTGTTTCTAAGACAGAGTTTCTCTGTGTAGTCCTGGCTGTCCTGGAACTCTCTTTGTAGACCAGGCTGGCCTCCAAACTCAGAGATGTCCTGCCTCTGTTTCCCAATTAAAGACGTGCACTGCCACTGGCTCCCCACATCTATATTAAAACTATGTTCACATTATTCATTTATGTTGTAGTTACATTTTTGTGTGGTTACACACATGTCACAACTCACATGTGCCATAGGTGGTGGCATGTGGAAATCAGAGGACAACTTGCAGGAGTCAGTTCTCTCCTTCTACTGTATGTGAGGGTCCTGGGGCATCAAACTAAGACTATGAGGCTTGGCAGCAGGCTCCTTTGCCTGCCGACCCATCTCACCGGCCCTAGCACTATTTTTATCTATATATTTTGTTTTTATACAAATGTTACTCTGTGGTCCAAGCTGACCTAGAATTCCCTATGTATCAGAGGTAATCTTGAACTCACAACAGTCTCCTGCCCCAGCCTCCCAAGTGTTGGGATTACAGGTGTGAGTCACCATGTTTAGCTCCTCCCACTATTAACATCTTTCTTCAACACTGGTCCAATCTACTAAATAAACTCCAGACCAAATCTATTTTTTTAAATAGTACTTTCCTGGGCTGGAGAGATGGCTCAGTGGTCAAGAGTTCGTACTGGTCCTGCAGAGGCCCAGGGTTTCAGCCTCAGCACTCACATTAGGTGGCTCACTTCTACAACTCCAACTGCAGAGAGAGTTGACTCCTCTGGGCTGGGCAGGCACCACACTCACACACACACATACTCACATACACATCCACACACACGTGCACATAATTAAAATTAAAATAAGTCTTCAAACATAAGTAATAAGTAATATGGGAGCTGGAGAGATGGCTCAGTGGTTAAGACCATTGGCTATTCTTTAGAAGACTTAGGTTTGATTCCCAATACCTACATGTGGCTCAGAACTGCTTGTACTTCCAAGAGATCAAACGCCCTCTCTGGCTTCCATGGGCACTAGGCATACATGTGGTGCAAAAATACACATGAAGTCAAAACACCCATACACATAAAGTAAAAATTTTTTAAATAATAAAAATACTTTCCTAATTAAAAATTACAAGAAGTTGATTCAGCCCTAAACAGGACATTCATGTCACCCCTGTTAAGGCCCAGGGAACATCTCGGAAGAGGGGACAGAATGAACGGAAGAGCCAGAGAATGAACGGAAGGCAGGGAGAAGGGCCGTGAAATACTTTCTTCTGGCCACGACACAGCCAATGCTATCATGATCTCACAGCAGCTGCAGCTACCTGCAATGGGCCTGCCAACAGTCAATCATGGATCTCAGAGGGGTTCACGGGTCCTATCCCTCCCTACCAAACCATGTACTGACAGATTCTGGGGGAGGAACAGTCATTATCTTCAGCTGTGTGCCTACTGATGTGTCCAACAGCTTCCAGTAGTTAACTACAAACCCATGGGCAAACAAAAGGCCCTGGTTAAACTCAGTTGGTCAGAAAGTAAAACAAAAAGGCATGAATGTGGGAAATTGACTCATAGGGAAGGAGAGGGGATAGGGATGGGAGGGAGGTAAAGGGTGGAGGGGTGTCTGTCATCAGGAAGCACTGTATACATGAGTGAAATTTTAAAAGAAATTTAATAAAAGTTAGAGAAGTGTAAGTATGAAAAGAGAATATGAAAAATACAGAAGAAAAAAATCAAAATCACCCACTTTTGTCCTACCCAGACATAATGATATAGTCATTAGTAGCTTTTTCTTCAACTTTATTTATATACAATTTCAATTAGTTAGACATATAGAATTCTACTGTTCCTCCTTTGTCTCTTTTTTATTTGTTTTTGTTTTGGGAGTCAGAGTCTCTATGTGTAGCCTTGGCCACCCTGAAACTCACTCTGTAGACCATGCTGGCCTCAAACTCAGAGATCTGCTTGCCTCTGCCTCCTAACCCTGAGTGTTGGGGCTAAAGGTGTATGCCACCACACCCGACTATTGCCTCAGCCATATAACAAGACACCTTTCTATGTCGTTAACATTCTTTGAATAATGTAACTAATGGGTATACATGTTCCATCAATGGAGACACCAAAATGCATCTTGACTGTTAACCAGTAGGTAGCCAAAGTAGCTAGCATGAGCTTTAGGTTCATTTGTTTCAGGGTATACTTGAGGGGGAAAACCTCCCTAATCTATGTCTTGATTATCTTAAGCTCCAGAAGTATTCTCTGAGGTTCTGGTGGAAAGGAACACCAGGGAAGAAAGCAACACAGTCAATTTGCTTGTTTCAGTAGGCATAGTCATCCTTGGAGATGACATTTGTTTTACTACTGCCCCAGGGGGCCACAGTTTCCAAACACCAAGGCAGCAAGAACACTGGATATTCTATCTTTGTTCACCAATGTTATCATTTCCAAGTCAACCCATGTTTTCACAGCTTATTCTTCAACCAAGGTCTAAGATTAGAAACTTTAACTCAATGCAGTCACAAGTGGCTGATTCATCTCAATTTCCACTGACTCGTATAAACTCTAGTGTTTCCCCAATGACCTCACAAAGGCCCTCCTGAGGTACAACCCCAGAACTGCACAGGGGTTAGGGCAGGCTCTGCTCCTCCTAGAGAGAAAAATCCCTGCAGATTCTGAGTAGCTCAGTGCCATCTGACAAGTGTTTTATCAGCTGGACAGCCATCTCCAACTCAGCTGGTCACAGGTCCCTCACCCAACATGCAGGCAAGCTCCCTGCACCGGCCATCTGATTCCATACCTGGTAGTGCTGGTCGCAGGCCCTCGGGAGACAGCTTGGCCTTTTGCAAACTACACTTGCCTTCATTTAGCTTAAAGGTTACACTTGTCCTGATGATGACGACATCTTCAGAAAGAAATAAGTAAAAGTAATTACCTTCATAGGCAAAGGAAGAGAACACCCAGTGGGTGGTAGTAAGCTCCCACTGGCTGGGTCTCACCACACGCTGTAGCTGATGAATCCCTCTAACCCTTGAGATGATCCACTAAAGGTGTGCGTGGATCATGGAGTGTCCATTACCACAGGGTAATGCATAGGGTCACCTGGAGCCTCCTCAGAGATAATCTTATCTCAAGGGAGAGATGGATCCAATGTTCAGATGTAACAGAAAAAGGACCTCAAAGAGTCTCCACAGCCAGGTGATTTTTGTGTCTTCCTGAGAAGAAAGGCAAGTATCCTCCTGCTCAAATCTGAGTAAGATTACTGAGGGAAGTCTCTTCTAGGTGTGGCTTCCCAGAGAGATCAGGATTTGAGGGAGCTGCCAGTCCAGAAGGGACTACCACTTCTGGGTTCTGGGATGGAATGAGTACAGAACTCTGTTCTCCCAAAATTGATCTTAACTATACATTGGGCTGGAACCCATGCCTTTAATTGAAAGCTTTCTGGTCTGTGAAAACTTCAGCACCTTCCTTAATCTTCCCCAGCTCAGGTTCCTGTGTGTTAAATGCACACAGCTAAGCACCTGTTTTACCAGGATATTGTTAAGGATGAAATGAGATAATGGCAGAAATAAATGTTTAGCTGGTTGCCTGGTACATAGTAAGGACTGTTAGCTATTTGCTTGCTGGTGTTTAGAGCATCCCAGATGACCAAGGAATTACCACTGGGGAAATTGGTGTCAGACCATGTTGTGTCCTCTGGCTTAGTCCTAACATTAATCAGAAAGGGCAGCAAAAACAGCACTTAAGACTCTGAATTCAAACTGCTTGAGTTCAAAACCTGGCTCCTCTATTTCTTATCTGAGTCACTTTGAATAAGTCTTCCACCCCTCTGGGTCTTGGTTTCTTTGGTTAATGAGAATAATAATAAAATTGATGCAGCCAAGTGTGCATATAATCCTATAATCCCAACACACAAGCAACTGAAGCAGGAATGTCATGAATTCAAGGTCATCCTGAACTACATAGTACATCCCAGGCTAGCCTGGGTTACAAAGTGAAACCTGCCTCCAATATTTAATGCACAGTTTCAAGTGGATTAAATAGCCTATTCAGGGACTGGAGAGATGGCTCAGCAGTTGGGAGTACTTGCTGCTCTTACAGAGGACCCAGGTTCAATTCCCAGCACCCAGTTACTGTCTGTAACTACAACCCAATGCCCTTCCACAGGGAAAACAAAACACCAATGCGCATTAATAATTTAAATAGCCTATTCAATGGAATATAGCATAGAGTAGATGGAGTATTTTAACTTCTAAAACTACAATCTTTCTTGACATTTCAAACTTTTAACATCTTTATAATAATAGACTTCAAGATATAATGCGGCTCTCATTTTGGATAGTTTTTGTAACAAAATGGCAAATGTGTCCTTATCTGGGAAGCTGAGGACTCCAGAAAACATTGGACTTTTATTGTTAGCACTGTGACAAACTAGAGGAGGTTCAGGTCTCTTTCTTGAGACAGAACTCCACTTCCCCTGCTCTGTCCATGCCACCTCCACCAATGCCATAGGTGTCAGGTATGGTCCCTACTGGACTGTTAAAGTGCTCTGGAATAGAGCATATGGACCTCTTGTCAATACGTGACCCACCCAGGCGGAACAGGACCTCCAAGTACACAAGGGACACTCAGTAAGTATGGTTTCCACAGGCAAATCAGAATCCAACACCACAGCTGTGGGCAAGAACACCCTGTAATGTGCCCAGAAAAAAGCAAACAAAGCCACCCCCATTAGCAGCACCCCATGAAAGAAGCCCACTGAATGCACTGAGCCCCTGCAAGAACACAGTTTGGTAATTACCCCCAAAATCAGAGTCATTTGATTTTTGCTGTCTGCTTCTGAGAGAAGAGGAAGAGCCGCAGCTGACAGAGTAGGCCTCTTGCAGTCCTGACAGATAGAATGTGGAATTGTCAAGATGACAGACTATCTTGGTATCAACTAAAGTCGCCCCCTCCCCAACTCCAGGTAAAACTCCACCAGAAAAATACCCAGGACATGGGCTCTCAAAGCAAGGGCCTCTGCTGGCTGAGAAGCATCTGGCCCAGAACCAGAAAGCCCTTTGAGCGTATCTGACACCCATAGGCCCTGCCATGAGAACCTTCCCAGGGATTTACGCCACTCACCTGAGGAGAGGTGAATGCCAGAGTGACATCTTAGGAAGCACCTGTCTCCTCCACCACTCTTACCACAGTGCAGGGACACACTGGGTGCCATGCTAGTGGGCAGGAAGCCCTTCACTTCTAGACAGGACAAAACACAGATACTTAAGGTAACAGAAGCATGGATGCAAGTGTGATGAGAGTCACACTTGTGTGATGAAAGCACCAATGGCCTAGTCTTGAGCAGAGACAGCAGAGCTGACCTCCCTCCCCAGCCTCGCCCAGCTGACTCAAGCCCCTCCTCCCGCTGAGGCCCAGGAGGCACTTGTCTGTTGTTTGTTCATGCAAAGAAGCAACCACGAAACCGAAGGAAGCACCAATCCATGCAGAAGCACAGCTCTAAATGTGAAGGAGCCTGCAAAGTATCTCCTGCTTTTTGGACCTGTTAAAGACCAGCTGCTGCTGCTGCTTCAGAAAGACTCCATGGGAAGGCGGGCTTGGGGCACAGTGGGGTATGGGAGCATACAGAGTCTCAAACCTCTGGACTCGGTGAGCCTGTAGCCACATGTGAACTATGGAAGGACGGAGCTTCTTACCCACACAGTCCTTTTCATTCCAGTGGAGCTTGTACCCTGGGTGACACTGGCACTCGTAGCCACCCACTGTGTTGATGCAAACTTGCTGGCAGCCTCCATTATCGACACAGCACTCATTGGTGTCTGTGGAACAAAAACTGTCTCCTGTCACAATAGTACGTAAGGGCTGACTACCTCTCCCTTGAGGAAGAAGCCGTAGATGAATCACATCGTTGACAGACAGTCTTTTCAGGGACATGTACTTGGCACCTGCTGATTGTACTCTATGCTCCCCACACACATGAACCTTGGTTGGAAGGTTTTAGCCATTGATGGGAACACTCAGAAGGGAACAATCCACTTTCAGATGTCCAGACTTAGACCCTGCATGGGCTTTGAACTTGAAACTACACCATCCTCTGGGCTATACACTAAGGGAGACAGACAGAATTAAGACTCACTACTTGACTGTTCCCACAATTGAGAGAGAAGAAAAGTTGTGTGCACCTACCCATGTCCAGTAAGTCGGGACTGAACCCAAGTTGGAAGGTAGCTCCCAACCAGGTTGACATCTGTTCCAGGGGTATTTCACGGAGTCTCATGATAGATGGGATAAAGTGGTGGGTATGCTTTTAGAGTACCAAGAATGTGTGGAAAGAGAGAAGTGAGACTCTGTCATCTACAGTAAAGCACCATTATCTGTTCTTCTTACACACAGGGCATGAGGATTGGTAGGAAGTATTCCAGCCCATGGTCCCCAATCCCATGGATACTTAGAATCACCACAGTGACCTTAGACAAGTTGTTCTAAGGTCTAGATCTATTCTCAATGATTGCTGATCGCTTGGAAAGCAGTGAGAGTCAGTTAGCAAAAAATCTGATTTATATATAGCATAGTCTACTTGATCTTAAGGGTATGAGACATGAGCATACACTGTTAAATGGACACAGAATGAAGAGATGCGTCAATGCCACCTTCTGGATCCAGGCCCTAACAATAGGGCTTGAACCAAGACTTTGCAGCCTGTGCACAGGCAGAGCAGAACTACAAGTTTGCTGGGTACCCCAACAAGCCTCTCTGAAGGCAGCAACATTATCTTCTGCTGAAAAGGATGGGATATTGTCCCAGCTCCTGCAAGACCTCCATTCTCCAAATATGAGCACAAGTGAATTCACTGATGAATCCAAGGCCAACAGAACTTAGTTCCTCTGTGCTCCCTTTCATACCTGATGTGTTAATGGGGTAAATAGTAGCTTATTCCTTTTAACAAGTTCTTTTCTTGTTGCCACTGCCCAGGAATGCACTCTTGGCCCCAGTATAGGAAGGCAAGCCCTAACGGTGGCCCTGCTCCCAGGCTTGGGCTCCCCACAGAGGGGTAGTCCGCTCACCTCCACAGTGCGTGAAGCTATAGAGTGTGTACCCTCTGTTGCAGGCACAAACAAAAGTGCCAGGATGATTGATGCAGCTGTGATCACAGGTCCTTTCCAAAGAGCATTCATCCACATCTGTAATTATCAAAGAGAGGGGAGCTGATGCCAACTCTACTGTGTGAGTAGAGGTATTTGTAGCAATCACAGGTTGCTGACTATCTTCAAAAGCACACAAGTAAGGAAAACAGATCAACCTATCACTTTGCTCACTTGTATCAAAGAACATGTTGAGGAGCCCATACTAACTATCGTCATTCCTGGATCCCTTGGATGTAAATTCCTTTTTTAAAAAGATTTATTTTTGCAGGGCATTGGTGGTGCATGCCTTTAATCCCAGCACTTGGGAGACAGAGGCAGGTGGATCTCTATGAGTTCAAGGCCAGCCTGGTCTACAGAGCGAGTTCCAGGACAGGCTCCAAAACAATACGGAGAAACCCTGTCTCAAAACAAACAAACAAACAAAAATATTTATTTTCATGTGCATCAGTGTTTTGCCTGTATGTATGTCTGTGTGAAGGTGTCAGGTCCCCTAGAACTGAGTTATAGACAGTTGTGAGCTGCCATATGGGTGCTGGGAACTGAACTGGGTCCTCTAGAAGAGCAGCCAGTGCTCCTAAGCCCAGAGTCATCTCTCCAGCCCCTCGGTTGTAAATTCTATTGCAAACTATACTTGCTTTGAAGATTTCTAGAACTCACAATTATTTGCAGGGCTGAGAAATTTAAGTTATATAAATTATGGTTTGTTTGGGCTTTTGTTTTTGTCAATTTGACACAAGCTGGAGTCACCTGAGAAGAAGGACTCTCAATTGAGAAAATGCCCCAATTTCTCAATGTGGACCATTTTCTTGATTAATAACTAGTGTATGAGGGTCCAGCCCACTGTGGGCAGTGTCATCCCTGGGCAGGCAATATGGAGTGGTATAAGAAAGCTAGCTGAGGGGTTGGAAAGATGACTCAGGGGAATCTGGCATTCTCACATACAAGCAGGCAAAACACCAGTGCACATAAAATAAAAATAAAGTTAAAAAAAAAGAAAGCTGAGCAAGCCATGGAGTGCAATCCAAGCAGTGTCTCTCCATGGCCTCTGCTTCAGTTCCTGCCTCCAGAGTCCTGCCTTGCTTGAGTTCCTGTCCTGACTTCCTTCAGTGATAGGCTGTGGTATGACATGTAAGCCTAATAAACACGTTTGTTCCCCAAGTCACTTTTGAGTACAGTGTTTTGTCACAGCAATAGGAAGCAAATTAACACATAAATGAAGGTAAATATATACCTAAAGATAGGTTCATAATCTAGTTTACAAATAATAAAGCTAGCTATTCATTATCATTTTTCTATTTTTGTTTGTAAATGCTTTGGTTGGAGACGATTCTGGTTTCTGTCTCTCTCATCTTTGTAGAATTACTCTTCTGGCCCCAACAGGCCAGTTGATCCTGTGTCTTAATGCCCTCTGTATTAAAAGAATTCATTAACACTAAAACCCTCAGTGATTTTCTATGAAAGATGCTGAAACTGGGTTAGTTAAGGCATAGATTGGATCTACTTAGAAAATCTCTTGGTTGTGTTATTCCTCTATGTTAATTGGTTTCTTTTTTTATCTTTTGGCTCTTTGCTCTTTGGGGAACCCGCCACCCAGCTCCCAAATAAATACACATGGTGACTTTTTCTTATAAATGCCCAACCTTAGCTTGGCTTGTTTCTAGTCAGCTTTTTAAAAATTATCCCATCTACCTTTTGCCTCTGGGTTTTTACGTTTCTCTAGTCTATACATCTTTCTTTCCGTCTTACTCTGTGGATGGCTGAGTGGCTATACCCTGGCATCACCTTCTCCTTTTCTCACTCCTCCCTCTCTTCTTGAACCTACATTTCTCCTGTTTATTCTCTCGCCTGGCAGCCCTGCCTATCCCTCTCTCCTGCCTAGCTGTTGGCCACTCAGCTCTTTATTAGGCCAATCGGCTATTTTAGACAGGCAAAGTAACACAGCTTCACAGAGTTAAACAAATGCAACACATCTTTGCATCATTAAACAAATGTTCCTCAGCATAAACAAATGTAACACATCTTAAAATAATTTTCTACAACACTTCTATGGTAGAGGATTAACATGTTACCCTTCCCAGTGCCCTCTATGTCCCTGGCTCAGTGGGGATATATTCCTAGCAGCAAGCAGGGCCATGCAAACCAGCCTCTGGAAGCTTCATATGTGGACCTGATCATGGTTTTTTGTTGTTGTTGTTGTTGTTTTGGTTTTGTTGTTGTTGTTGTTTTGTTTTTTGTTTGTTTGTTTGTTTTTTCTTTTTGTCTCACTCCCAGAACTCTTGGGATGGCTTTAACTGGTGCCTCTAAAATAGGTAAACCTGGGTCACACTTAGTGGGTGACAACCACACCATTGGACTGGACCACTTTTTCTCCATCAAACATGCCATGAAAAGATATAACAATAAAAGGCAAACATGTTAGTCAGATGTGGTAGTGTGTGCCCGTTCTTGGGAGGCCAAGGCAGTAGGATCACCGTGAGTTTAAGGACAGACTAGCTTAAGCATTTTCCAGGTCAATGAAAACCTGATTCAATTCAAAATAACAACAATAAACAGGGAGCAGGGGTTCATGAGTCAAGGAAAATGCAAACAAAAAATATAGAAGGGCAAATTCTTGCAAAGTCCTTCTTCCCTGGTTTTTCCCACAAATCCTGACAGTTTCTTCAGCAAATTCTCTCTATGCAAATATTTGTTCTATCAAGAGCAATGTATGGAAAAAGAGAAAAAGTCAGTTTCTCCCCTTGTACTTGATGCCACTCCATGAGATGTTACTAACTTCAGCCAGTTGCTGACAGAGTGCCCTCATTCAGTAGCTGACTTTGGCTGCTCACTGTGGACGCCGGCTTTGCCAAAAATAATGAGATCACTTTCCTAATTCCTTTTTAATGTGTTTACACAGCTTAGACATATTTTTTGCCCTATACATTATGAAACATTGTATGGAACAGCAAATTTGCTTTCCAAGTCAAACTGAAGCAAACCACAAAATAATTACCTAGAATTAACTTACTGAATTTAAAGAAGAATGTATCTGAACTACCTGTCAAATTATGTATTAAGAACAAAAGGAAGAAAAGCCTAGTTTGCTCTGTAAAGTGTCTTTTTTTAAGTCGTTACATCTTTTATCTTGTGTGTATATATGTGTTCATATGTGTGTGCACATGTGTATGAAGGTCAGAGGTCAGCATCAGAGGCCTCCTCAGTTGCTTCCCACCTCATTTTTTAAGACAGGGTTTCTCACTGAACCTGAAACTTGCCAATTCTGCCAAACTGGCTGGTCATTGAGCTCTAGGGATTTCCTGTCGCTGCCTCCCAGGACTGGATTGTAGGCACACCCTGCCACACTCAGCTTTGTAGGTGGGTGTTGGAGACCCAAATGCAGGTCCTCAGGCTTTCTCGGCAAGCACTTGCCCACTGAGCCGTCTCCCCGGCTCCCAATGTTACATTTCATATTCTGATTTTTATGCAGTGTTGGGCTTTGTTTTGTTCTTTGGTTTGAGGTTTTTGTGGTTCTGTTTGTTTGTCTGTCTGTTTCACTGGGTCTCTAGCCAAGTTGGTCTCAGACTTAATGTGTAGCCAAGGACAGCCTTGAAGCTTTGGTCCTCCTGCTTCTACCTCCATGTGACAGGTGATTGCGGGTGTGCGACGCCATGTGTGGTTTATGCAGTGTTGGAAGTCCAGCCCAGGTCTTTGTGCATGCTCGGCAAGCATCTACCAACTGAGTTACACCTCCACCCTTCAATGAGCCCCTGATGCTGAGATGTCTAACAAAATAGGTAAGGGGGTCCTTATTCCCAGAAATGGAACAAGATAAACAACGGTGTATCTTCCCTGAGACTTTCTTCTTATATACTGATAAGGCATGAAAGCTGTTTAAGTCAGTTGTAAACGTTGACAACTGCTGCTCACTTTATGGAGGAAGGCTACAGGTGAACAGGAGGCTATAGGGGCTGAAGAGATGGATTAGTGTTAAGAGCAGGCACCACTCTTACATAAGACTGAGTGGAGTTTTGCTCCCAGCACACACCCCAGGTGGCTCATAACTACTTGTAACTCCAGGTCCAGGGGATTGGATGCCTCAGGCCTCTGTGGACCCCTTCCATGTCCCTGCCTGCATACAGACACACACATACACATATTTAAAAAATAAGTCTAAGTAAAAGAAAGAAAAGGGAGGGGTCCAGTCTATAATCTTCCTATGAGCCAAGCAGTATTTTTTCCACCCCCCCTTCCACCCACCTCAAAGAGTAGTCATCTACTGTAAGGCCCAGAAGAGACCAACTGGTTCTAGACGAGTTGACCTCTACTTTTTGCTAGGAAGAAGTATTATCCAAATCTACAGTTTTTGCCACCAACTTTTGTCAAATATTCAATGGCAGTAAAATACATTTTAGAAAAGAAAACTGACCTCTAATGTCAAGAACCAGCCACAGCCTTGCTTGCCTCGTGTGCTCTGGTCCCTTGCTTCCGGCACACCCTGCTGTGGCCAGACCTGATAGGCTTCCTAAGGTATTCTCATGTTAACTGCTTAGCTTCCAAAACACGTGTGAGCTACACCGAGTTTCCATCCAACCTGAGATGAAGCAAGTGACTTCCAGGTTGGAGACAGGACTCCATCAGGAGCAGGGCGAGCCAGTCTCTACCAACCCAGGACCCATAAACACCTTCTCTTCCCACCTCAGCTACTGTTTCAGCACATACCTTGGCAAGACTTCTCATCTGTTAATAATTTAAATCCTTTTTTGCAGCTGCAGTCAAAACTGCCCACGGTGTTTTTGCAGAAATGATTGCAACCTCCATTCCGGGTCTGGCACTCATCGATATCTGTAACAGACAAGCACTATGGAACCAGAGGGCAACAGCTGCCTGGCTTTCCCCCAGCCCCCAAACTGCTGTTCTGTGTGTCGCTGATCCTCAGATAAAAAAACAGACCCACAAGAACACTTCAGAATGCTCGCTGATGGTTTCAATCTCACAAGCATTTTCCTGTCTGGCTGACAGACAAGTCCCTCTTCCAGTAGCAATTCTGACTTTCCATGCCATTGAAAGCATTAAGGAAAGAAACCCTGGAAAGGAGTGGTGATGTCATGTTTTATTTTAGTCTCCTCCTTTAACGCCCTCCAAAGATGAGACAACCCCTGTGAGTACACTTTCTATTCTAACTTATGACTAAAGCCATAAGGGACAAGAGCTTTTGTTTTAGCAAATTACACAATGACCAGATGGTCTCAACGTTTTTTTAATGATTCCTGATACTTAATCTTATCTTTCCCCGTTTCATCTCATAACCAGTTTATTTATCTTTTTATCACACTAAAGCACTAACAAACCCTTTGTACTCTTGCCCATGAAAGACCAGAAAGTCATTCAGGTCTGTCTTCATTAATAAAAGTCAGTGGTACAGTTATTCGTTAAATGCTCTGGATAATAATCTCAGCCGTTATTTACACAGCAATCTTGGGACTATTATATATGATAGGTTGATATTATCTGCTGCCAATGAATGTTCCATGAACTGACTTTTGCTAATAAGGCCACTTGTCTGAAATGGATTATCTGATGCTTGCAGAGGCTGACCTTCTCAACAGTTAGTGTAATTAAGCCACTTCTAATTAAGCTTACTCAATTATAACCATCCACTAGCCCAGGGAAGAAAAGCTCCCATCAATATGAATCATAAGCAAATCTGGAAGCACTCAAATGGTGTAGAAGGGCAGAACTGCCCCTATGCCACACATCGGGGGTTCAGGGCTCCCTCTACCCAGGCCCCAGGCCCCACAGCCGCCCCGCCCCCAGTTCCAGGACAAGCGAAAGCTACCTTTGCATGTCTTCCCATCCAACTGGAGAGTGAACCCAATAGGACAACTGCAGTGAACACCTGTTGATGTGTCCTTACAGGTTCGATCACAGCCTCCATTGTTGACAGCACATGTTTCTGACAAGAGGTTGGAAGGGCAGTTAGCTTCCTAAAGGAGTGCTGATACAGATATTACTGTTTGACAACCCTGAAAGCACGGAGGGGTGCTCATGGTCACACCCCAAGCCTCTGCCACCTGAGGTGAGACAGAGAGAGAGCTGCTGCATCTCCTGCCCTTCAACAAAGGCTGCTCCAAAAACTGGTGACCAGAGGGATAAAGATACCTCCCGACCTGTGGGAACCTTCTCTACCCACTAGAGGTTCCCAGCGACCCCAGCCAACAGCCTGCTAAGTGTGACCACTTGACCTGGCAGGCTAGATTGAGTGCATAACAGGGCAAAAGAGGATATTCTTTTCTTCCTCCAGAAGTTTCTCTTTCATCCGAGTGGTGGGCCTAACCCCCATCCGGACCATTCCCTTACTATACACCAATGACTTTGTCTTTGCAAGTGCCAACTTGCTCACAAGTCTCTCTCTGAAAAGGCCCGCCATAACAACTGAAAATGAACTCCAGAAGTTCTTCATTTTGCATGGTCATTCTCAGTGATAGGTAAGTACTAGTCAACATTCACTCAATGTTAGCATCCAGGAGTCCAGAAATTTCCATAGCTACCTCATTTGAAAGTCTGCGGGGGACAGGAGAACAAGCTTAGTACTAATTAAACACAAGAGCTATATATGTTTATCTGTGCTTCTTCTCAGAACGGCACGACACTGAGAGAAGTGTCTAAATGTGTAGTTCCTTGGGGACAAAGCAAATGGAAGAGAAGACAAAAAGGTGTCAACTGTTAGGAAGTGGCACATCAATGGAGGAGAACGTTAATCCCTCGGGTCTGCAGAGGGACTGCTGACAGGGGCAAAGCCATATGAACCCCAGAATCCAGGAAGGCCAGGAGTTAGAGACTGCAAGCTCTTCTAGAAGCACAGGTGAGGACGGAGTTTAAAAAAAAAATAGAAAGGTCGCCCGAGAAACAGTACCCCCATATCTGTCTCCATCCCACACACTAATGCCTCACACCCACCACCAAGCTCTTATTTCCAGATAACCAGGTATGGTGCAGTTTACACTCTGGGAAATCAGACCAATGCATGAGATCATAGAGGAGGAAAAGGGAAGCACAGTTGATGAGATCAAAGTCTGGGCCAGGATGCACTGTTAGATCCACACCCCCAGACCAAGCCAGGGATGCTGGGAGCTAAGTTTCTATCCCCAACTGAGAGACACTAGCCCAACTCATCCACATGGAAAGACTTCAGCTGGGAAGTCTCACAGACACAAAGCCCTCAACTGGCTTTTCCAGTTCTTCACTATCGAGTATGAAAAATCAGTCAAGGATTACCAAATATTTAGAAAATTTAGGATTTTAGATATATACCAAATTGAACAACAACAAAAAGAAACTTGGAGAAAACAAAGGTAACAGAGGAAGAGATTGGAAAGATGGCTTAGTCGTTAAAAGTGCATCAAACTCCCACAGAGGACCTGAGTACCCACAACTGCCTATAACTCCAACTCCAGGGGATCTCATGCCTCTGGCCTCCAGCCTCTGCAGGCATCTGCACTCACCTGAATATACACACAATTAAAAATGATAACCATTTTAGAAAGATAATATGGGGAAAGAGAGAGAGTAAAATATAATTTCTTTAGGTGGCAAAAGAAGCATCCGTGAAATACGAGCAAGTCCCTGTAACAAAGACCAAAGTAAATGCTGGGGGAAAAAAAGAAAAACAGGAAAGTAGAAATTTAAAAAAGAATATTGCAGGAAGATTAGAAGATGGAGAAATGAGAAATCTAGAAAGTGAAACAAAATATATAGAGCAGAGAGACGAAAAATGAGAGGATCTCTGAGTTACTGCTACCAACAGGGAAGGACCAAGGGCGGCGTGAAGCTGCACAGAGGCAGATCAGAGTGAGCACAGAGCACACCAGAGGGCATCGCGGTGAAATCTCAGATCACCAAGGACAAAGGAAAACCCTGAAAACATCCAGAGTGAAGGTTTTACAGGTTTCACACACTGGATCAAGAGTAAGAATGAGAGAGAGCTGGGGATGTAGCTCAGGTGGGTGAGTGTTCATTTAGCATGCACAATGCCCTGGGCCCCATCCCCAGAGATGGGTAAACTAAACATGGAGGCACATGTGATCCCAGCACCTGGGGTGGTGGCACATGTGATCCCAGCACCTGGGGTGGCACATGTGATCCCAGCACCTGGGGTGGTGGCACATGTGATCCCAGCACCTGGGGTGGCACATGTGATCCCAGCACCTGGGGTGGCACATGTGATCCCAGCACCTGTAGTGACACATGTGATCCCAGCACCTGTAGTGGCACATGTGATCCCAGCACCTGGGGTGGCACATGTGATCCCAGCACCTGTAGTGGCACATGTGATCCCAGCACCTGTAGTGACACATGTGATCCCAGCACCTGTAGTGACACATATGATTCCAGCACCTGGGGTGGCACATGTGATCCCAGCACCTGGGGTGGTGGCACATGTGATCCCAGCACCTGGGGTGGCACATGTGATCCCAGCACCTGTAGTGACACATGTGATCCCAGCACCTGTAGTGACACATATGATTCCAGCACCTGGGGTGGCACATGTGATCCCAGCACCTGGGGTGGTGGCACATGTGATCCCAGCACCTGGGGTGGCACATGTGATCCCAGCACCTGGGGTGGTGGCACATGTGATCCCAGCACCTGGGGTGGCACATGTGATCCCAGCACCTGGGGTGGCACATGTGATCCCAGCACCTGGGGTGACACATGTGATCCCAGCACCTGGGGTGGTGGCACATGTGATCCCAGCACCTGGGGTGGTGGCACATGTGATCCCAGCACCTGGGGTGGCACATGTGATCCCAGCACCTGGGGTGACACATGTGATCCCAGCACCTGGGGTGGTGGCATGTGTGATCCCAGCACCTGGGGTGGTGGCATATGTGATCCCAGCACCTGGGTGGTGGGAGCAGAAGTTCAAGGTCATCCTCAGCTCTAGAGAGTTTGAGGTCAGCCTGGGCTACATGAGATGATAAAGAGAAGCAGAGAGGGAGGGAAAAAAGAAGGGCAGGGATGAGTGAGATGAAAACAATGGGCATTGGTGTCCAAATTCTGATGACAGAATATTCTTTCCAACTCTGAATTCTATAATGAGCCAAACTCTTGATGAAGGGTGAAGGGAGAATACACAAAAAAGCATTTTGAGGGACACAAGGTTTTTAGAAACCTTTATCTTGTCCATAATACAAAGTGCCAAAACAGGAGAGCAGCAAGGGGGGTTCCTAAGCCCCTGGGAAAGGCGCAGCTGACAGAGCTGAGGCCAGGAGTCAGGCCCTCAGCAGCTGCAGGAAACCTCAGAGGAGTCTGATGGTCAGAGAAGAGAGTGGGCTGAGAAGTGCTGCTCTGAACACACTGGGAAGGGCTTTGGAAAGCCCTGCCAAGGACTCCCCAAGGAAAAGGATCCAGTGGGTGGTTTTTAGAAAGCAGCTCTCCTATTTGCAACCAAAAAAAGCATTAAATGGCAATGCATGGACTTGGGTGAATTGTGTGTAGGTTGCTCACAGTAATGGAAATACTTAATATTGACTTAAATTTTGATAGGCTATATTAATGGCATGGGAGAGTGTGTGTGTGTGTGTGTGTGTGTGTGTGTGTGTGTGTGTGTGTGTGTGTGTGTGTGTGTAAGTATAAAGTCGTCAGTGCTAGAGGAAAACATCCACCATATACCTCTGGCCTCCACATTTGTGTGCATTGTTGAGCAGTGTGAATGCACACACACACACACACACACACACACACACAGGAAGAAGGAAAAGAAAATTAATCAGAGAGAGATAAGAAAGGTCGCCTGCTTGATAACAAAGGGCTGGTCAATATCTTACCTGACTAGTAAACCCAGGAGCTAGTAGATAACAGCTTTATTTAAACCAAACCAAACCAAACTCTCCATAACAACCTGTCAAAAGATCTGCCTGGTCCCATCCCCACAGCCTCTTCTCTCTCTTCACTAGCCTGACTGTCAGGGCTATGGGCCAACTGTCTCGTGTCTCCCAGCCAAGTGCCAGTCTTCTCCATTCAGCAACTCTAGCACTAACATTGGCTGAGTCAGAGATGGAAGGCTGGTGGGCACCAGGACAGATAGACTGCCATGCTAAGCTGGAGGCTGCCCAGAACTCTCTGTCATTACAGCTAGTGAGAAAGAAGAGAGTTGACATTCCATGGCCAGGCACTGCATCCCACAGACTGGACTCTAGGCACTTCTGCATATTATTATCTTTTTAAGAGGCCTATTTTGTTTGTGTTTATGTATGTGTATAGGTGTGCATTTGCTACAGAATATGTGTGGTGATCAGAGGACTTGTGGGAATCCATTCTCTCCTTCTACCACGTAGGTCCCAGGGTCAAACTCGGGTCATCGAGCTTGACGGTAAGCATCCACACCTATTGAGCAATCTTGAAGACCTCATATTATTATCTTAATTGAATTTGCTGATAACCCTGAGTTTATTACATCCTATTTATTTATTTATTGTTCAGTGGGGTCTCACTATGTAGCCCTGACTAGCTTGGAAGTCACTATGTAGACCAGGATGGCCTCCATCTCACAAAACTGTGCCTGCCTCTGCCTCCCAAGTGCTGGAATTAAAGGCACGTGCCACTATACCTGCCTTTCATTTATTTATTTTGAGACAAGGCTTCACATATATTAGGCTGGCCTCCAATTTACTATGTAAGCATTGTGACCTTGAACATCTTATCCTCCTGTCCCCACCTCCTGAGTACTAGGATTATAGTCATGTGACATCAAGCTTGGTTTATGCTGTGGTGAGGGTCAAACCCAGGCCTTTGTTGGTGCTGGATAGGCACTGAGCTCCACCCCTAGCCCTTACACCTATTTTAAAGAGTAACCTACAGACAGGGAGGATTTGCCTTGTCTCACAGCTAGTTTGGCAGTGCTAGGACATTAACCTGATTATTCTAGTGACTTGGCACAGGGGTCTTAGACTATGAGTAAGGGACAGTTTTGTGTAAAGAAAAAAGAAAACGTATCCTGGCTTCAGAGAAGCTGCTCATCCCAGTCCAGTTGGCCTTGGGACACACGGGCTCTAAGTTCAGATGAATGAGCTAGAGAGAGAAGGGGGCAATGACAGGGCCAAGGAGGGAGGGTTACATACCCATGAGCAGCCGCCGTTTCACCCTTTTATCTCCATCTGCCACTGAGGTGGCATTGCTCTCTGTCCCCTCCAGGATGGTTCCCTCTTGCTCTACAAGAGAAGCAAAACCACCCCTGTCAGGCTGAATGATCAAATTACTCATTCCCTGAGCTACCATTTCTGCTGCAATCTCAGACACGAAATGTGTGACCAATGGCAGGCATGTGACTGTCCACTCCATAAGAACAGCCATTACGTGGCTCTGTGGGAAACAGCACATTAAGTGGCTGAAGACCCTTACAAACACTAAGTATGGGAAAGGTTTTGGAAGATAAAGCACTGGCTAAGAGACTCCAGGAAATACAAGCTTCAGAGAGACTGCCGAATTCTCAGTTGAAGACAAGAACTCCAAATGAGCCAGCAAGCTCTCACCATGAAAGGCAGGGCAGACTTTGACTGTAAAGGTTGCTGGGCCATCACACACAGCCAGCTCTAGCCTCTGTTACCCTCTTCCTTTGGAATATATTATCCAGATCTCTAGAATACCAGCTTCCAGAACAGCCCCGTCCATGGGAGGAGGAAGAGATTTGCGGAGAAAGGGGCTCCCACCCAAAAGTAGGCCACTCCCACTGTAGCATGTGAAGGAGCCTTGGGCATTGGCCATACCTTGCACCTGGGGCTAAAAACTATTAAAGGTTAGGGTTAAGAAGAGGTTTGGGGTAGGGGTTGGCAGACTGAGGCAAACCCTCCACTGGAAGGAGGGAAAAATCACTCACCAACACAGCTCCTCCCATCAGCATGCAACCTATACCGTGGATGGCAGCTACATTCAGGGCCTTCAACTGTATCTTCACAGGAGTGCTGACACCCACCGTTTCCATGGTTACAAGTCACTGAAGTCAGAATGAATCAACAGGTAAAGCACTGAGGTTTCCACAACCAGGGCTGGGTTTGTTCCCAAAGAACTTTTTACTTTTAAAGACGAGGTAGTTGGTCTGCAGAACTCACTATGTATGTAGCTCTAGCTGTCCTTGAACTCACAAAGTTCCACCTGCTTCTACTTCTCAAGAGCTGAGATTAAAGGTGTGCACTGCATGCTTCCCCCCAAAATTGATTTTTACTCTGCAAGTATCTAAGCACCTAGTGCACATCTGACACTTGACATGGAGAAAGACCTTCCACCCAGACACAGTCCATGTCAGTGTCACAGTGTAAAACCACTGGAGTACCAAAACAAGGCTTGAGCAAAGGGATACAGGGGTGGAGATCGGAAGGCTGGGTGGGGAAGCAGTTCGCCACGCAGGGGGAGTTATGTCAAGTGACTCTTGACTGCTGCTTCCCTCTCTCTGGTGAAGTGTGCCTGTTATCTCTGCTGTACCCAGGGCTTCTGGAAATACTCTAGCACTTCATGTCTGGAACACACGGACAATATTTAATTTGCACGTCAATGTGAGGGGAACTCTCACCAAAGTTCACCTGACTTCGTTACAAAGGAAGTTAATCGTAGGAAATGGCAACCCTTTGCACAGAGTGAATGCAACATCAACAAAAAATTATGAAGACTGTATGTGAAAGCACTGATAGTGGGCCAAAAAATAAACTTACATTCGCCAACTATAAAACTGCATAAACTTACATATGCCAACTATAAAACTGCATAAACGTACATACACCAACTATAAAACTACATGGTTGCACCAGGGGAGGTGGCGCATGCTTTTAATCCCAGCACTCAGGAGGCAGAGGCAGGTGGATCTCTGTGAGTTCCAGGCCAGCTGCAGAGTGAAAACGTGTCAAAAAACAAGTACCTCTCCACCTCCCCCACCCCCGCAAAAAAGCTATCAGGTGGTTGACAGATTACCTCTGGCAAAGGAAATAGGAGGAAGGAATGCAGGTTTTCACTATATGCCTCTGAGTATTTAAATTTTACATATGTAATTTTCTAATTTAAAAACTAATTATATATTTCTGTATACTCACACCTATATAAAAATTGGACATGCATATGAATTATGACTAAATGGGAATATAGAAAAAAGGAACTAGCTATGTTGTGTGATCCTGGGTTATGTTCCCCACCTCCAACCCCTGTTTTTGGTCTTTTGTGATAGGGTCTCATGTAATCTAGGTTGCCCTTCAACTCACTGTATAGCCAAGTATTCAGCGATGACCTTAAACTCCTGATCCTCATGCCTCTACCTCCTAAGTGCTAGTATCACAGGAATACGACTTTTTAAAAAGTTCTTCAAATGTTATAACAAACAGTGTATAAGCAGTGAAATTTAAAAAACATTTAATTAAAAAAAAAAAGAGCTGGGTGGTAGTGGCATACACCTTTAATCCCAGCACTTGGGAGGCAGAGGGAGGCAGATTTCCGTGAGTTTGAGACCAGCCTGGTCTACAGAGTGTACAGAGTAGGTTCCAGGACAGCCAAGGCTACACAGAGAAACCCTGTACAAAATAAAAAGAAAAATGCTTATTGGTCTGATGACAACACAAATGGCAAAGACACCTGCTACTGAGTCTGATGACCTGAGTTCAATTCGCAGACCCCAGATGGATGGAAAGGATGACTCCTACAAGTTGCTCTTTGGTCCCAGTTGTGGCTATACCTAATGATTGCTTTTCTGACCTCAGGGTATGACAGTTCATACTTACAGATGCAGTCTCTCTGGTTCTTAGCCAACTCAAAGCCAGGTCTGCATTCACAGGCAATTCTGCCCCTCGGGGCCTCTTTGCAGATGTGACTACAGCCATGGTCCTTGTTCATGCAGCTCAGGCCCTCTGTAAAACAACAGCAGGTAGCGGGTGACATGGAAAGAGAGCTGCAAGGATGGACAGTGGGGAAGGCTTGCCCTCCTGGGTCTCCACCGGCTCCATATTTTATTCATTTTTATTTTTTGATTTGTAGCCTAGGCCAGTCTTGAACTCCCTATTAGTTCAGACTTACCTAGAACTCATTATGCTCCTGCCTCTACTCTCCAGGTATTAGGTTTATGGGCACGTGCCACCCTACATGACCCCAGCCACACTTTTTTAATGACTATGTCTGGTTGGTGAGATGGATCACCATCTCTGCAATTTCCAGACATCTATAAGGATAATACCAACTGGCAAACTAAGCAATAATGGAGAGACTACCTTAAATGCCCATCCCTGATAATGAGTTTAACAACTGCCTTATATGCCATCCTAGAACCTTCATCCAGTGGCTGATGGAAGCAGAGGCAGACACCTACAGCTAAACATTGAACTGAACTTCTGGAACCCAGTGACAGAGAGGGAGGAGTGATGAGCAGGGAGGTCAAGACTGGGCTGGTAAAAATCACAGAAACTGCTGTCCTGAACAAGGGGGAGCTCTTGGACCCCCGACTGAAGACTAGGAGGCCAGCATGGGACTGATCCAGACCCCCCTGAACATGGTTGTCAGTGAGGAGGCCTGACTAACAACATATGGGCAGTAGATCGGTATTTATCCCTGGCATACAAATAGACTTTGGGTGCCCCTCCCACAATGAAGGATGCTCTCTCAGCCTGAACTCTTGGGGAAGGGCCTGGGCCCTGCCCTGAATGAAATGACAGACTCTGGAGATCCCATTGGAGGGCCTCACCCTCCCTGGGGAATGAAGTGGGGACTGTGTAGGAGGCTGGGAGGAGAGAGGGTGGGGGAGGAGGTGAGGGAGAGGGAGATGGGATTGACAGGTGAAGCAAGCTTGCTGCTAATTTAAATTTTAAAAAGTTTGTCAATGATAAAAAAATAAAATCAGACTGGGACAATTAAAAGAAAGATTTCTTTTGTCACCTAAGAGATAGAATACCTCAATTTTTCCTAAAGAAGGAGAACCGAGGCTAGAGAGACGGTTCTGCAGTTAAGAGCACTGGTTGCTCTTCCAGAGAACCTGGGTTCAATTCCCAATATCCACATAATGACTCACAGCCATCTGTAACTCCAGTGGGCACCAGACATGCATGTGGTCACAGGCATACTTGCAGACAAAACACCCATACACATAAAATAACTTTTAAAATAAAGAAAAGGAACCCTCCCAATAATATGGTGCTTCATACCAGAAAGAAGTACCCAAGGTTTTATGTCTGCCATAGGTTTACATTCCTTCATCAGGACTATACAGACACCTGCCTAGAGGCCTCTCTTAAATGACCCTCAGTTATTCTCTTGGCCCCTCCCTCCACATGCTTGGAGAATTATGCCTCTCACTGACAGCAACATACAACAACACAACAAGGAGCATTAGAGGAGAGAGGGGAAGCCTTCATGCATGTGGGCTCCTTTAGCTGCTGTGTAATGTTAGCTGTGCTGTAAGAGTCCATCAGGCCCAATCCGTGCTAATGGTGGTGGGAAAGAGGATATATTAGGGAACTGAGATCATTGGTGGTTTAATGAGCATCTGAATCAGTGGTTCTCAACCTTCCTAATGCTGCGACCCTTTAATACAGTTTCATGTTGTGGTGACCCCAACCACAAAATTATTTTCACTGCCACTTCATAACTGTAATTTTGCTGCTGTTATGAATCATAATGTAAATACTTATGGAGACAGAGGCTTGTCAAGGGGGTGGAGAACAATGGGTTGAGAACCTCTGACCTAAATGATGGTGCAACAGCAGAAGCAGCACCTGTGTGGGTTATCAGCAGCCTGCCTCAGTAGGAAACCAGTTCACTGAGACCTTGCTGCCTAGGTACCCAAGAATATGCTCAAGATGTCTTCTCAGTCAGAACTGCATTAGTAAGGATGTGTGCACATGTTGTTTCGTGCCTTTTGTGTAACACAACTCTGAAACATCCCTGAGAGAGAGGTTTTGGTTCTCCATGGTTAGAGAGCCCGTGAGAGTTTCTAATTCTAGAATTAGGACCGTTTCAAACTTGAGTTCTGGAAGGTTTTATTCAGCTTCACTGGGACTGAACACTCTTCTGCCCCTAAAACCATAGCCTAGACTCTAATGAAGTGAGTGAGTCTCTTCTCTTTCCTTGTGTGTCTGGGGAACAGTTACTTCCAGACATTTCTGTTTCAAAAGACAGCGCAGCAGCTAAGCATCCTCTACTCTCTTGGGTCTATCCAAAGACCACCTTGTTTTTCATCTGACGGCTGCATGCCCACACACTCAATCTGCTTCATGCTGCTGGGATCCAGCAGCCCCTGCCAAGGGCTGCTGTCAAGTAGCACAGAAAGAAGTCTGCACTGGGTTGCCACAAAGCTCTCTCCACTCTGGCTGGTCCTTTATGAAGATGTCATTCACACCCCAGTACCAAAATGGCACAAGAGGTGAGAGCTGCCCATGGAGGGAGTGTCCTTCCCTCCCTGCAAAGACCCAGCAAGTCCTATGCTTGTCTTTGGATCAGTGGAGCATTTGAAGTAATTGAGGCAGAGTGATACTTGCAGGAAATTGTTAACGGGGCTTGAAAATACAGTGCTAGGAACCCATACAAAGTCTACCCCCAACAACTTCCCTTCATCTTCCAGGTACTTTACTGTGTTTATGCACCTAAGACATCTGCAAAGTGATCTTTGCTGCCCCAGAGCAGTTAGTTCATTTATACAAGAAATATTTCTTAAGAAAGACCAGAAGCTGCTCCTGGTGTCCCCCTGTAGCAAACTGGACCTGAAGTCACCAGGAGGCAATGAGGATTGAGGCAACTCTAAAACCACAAGTGGATTTTCAAGAGATGACCCCTAAAGCCCTTCCAGCACCCCAACTCAAAATATGGCCATGGCTAGAGGGAGCAGATGGATTTGGTTCAAACCAGGAAGCCCAGCCAGGGCCCTACTCCCCTAGGACCTGGCCTGGTCGTCATACCTAAAGCTAAGGCTTCGCCGGAAGGGAAGATGCTCAGAAACCCTGAAGAGACTCCAAACTTTTGCTCCCTGGCCAGGTTTCTTCACTATAGGATATTTCTGGAAACTTAGAAATAAGGAGCCAGTCTGTACTACAGAGTGAGCTTCAGGACAATCAGCGCAACACAGAGAAACCCTGTCATGAAAAACCAAATGAGACCACGCTCTTTGAGACCATGACAAAAATATTCCATAGAATGAGGAATCTGCATTGCTGAAAGCAGCATGGTCTTCCTTCTGGCCCCCATGTCTCCCAGCAGCCCCGCCACGGCATCAGTATACTGTCCAGAGCCCTCAGAGCAGACAACACAAAGGAGAACTGCTCATTCTGAGAGCCTGAGCACCCCTGAATAGGAACAAAGACGCGCTGAGGGTGATGTTTCTCTCCAGCCTACCCCCATTACATGGGTGAAAACACACATTCTCTTTATCACAGCTTTGGCCTTTCTAAAGATTTTAAACAAAAATCCAGTAGCTTGAGTTTCCATCAAATCAGCTACAAGTTCCCCTTATTGAAAAATACTTAGTAAATGATTGTTCTTTAGAGAGAGAGAGAGAGAGAGAGAGAGAGAGAGAGAGAGAGAGAGAGAGAGAGAGAGAGAGAGAGAGAAGGGCAATAGCAATAGAAAGTACTAGCCTGTGACATTAACTTTCTTTACCCACTTTCCACCGTGGATTTTAAGTCTGTTTGAATACAGTCTCCGAGAAGGATACTGTACACATGAAGGAAGAAGTCCTAAGGAACAATTGTGCAAAAGTCATTTGGCTGAAGAATTAAATCCGAGGGTGGAAAGGGGTTGCCATTGCAAACTGCTGTAACCTGCTGGCTCATATTGGCAGCAATTTGCTCAGCAGTCAGGTTGAAACACAACAGAAAATCAGAGCACTTCCAGACCACAAAGGCAATTCTTAGATTTGGGTTTAAGTTCCAGACATCAACGTTCATGTTAACTACTCATCAGGGGATCCAAGAATGTCTGAATTGTGGGAGAATTCTAATACAGCTCGCAGAAAGAATTGCCCTGGTGTTTACCTCTGCTCTGAGAAACCTGGATCTCAAATCAGTCTAGAGGCTTGTAGGAGGGGAGAGGAGGCTGAGCCAGGGGTCTGGAACACAGTAAGTAGGAGACCAGAAGCCCTGCAAGCCGCTGTGTGGGGGTGCAGTCTATCCTGGGGGTGTGGAGACAACGTCTTTACCAGCAGGTCATTGCCTCGCTCTCCAGCCACCAGAAGAGAAAGTCAGAGCAACTTTCCTGGAAGCAACTTTGAGCAACTGAAAGGAGAGGTGCTCTGAGGTTCCCGCCATACTCTGCCTGCCTCCTTAAATGATTCCCATCTCCAGCTCTGACTTCCTGTGAAACTTCGTTCAATGCCACCAGGACCCAGAGACTCTAGCAGGAAGAAAGCGGCCATCACTGCCCTTCAAGGGTCTTGCCTAAACTGAGAAAAAAAAATCAGAACCACTGAATCTGACTCTCCCTACATGAACACTGAGAATGAAGAGACTACGGTGACAACAACTATCAAATCCACTGCCTCCCACCCCTGACTTCTCTAACCAACATTCTAGTCAAGTGTGACCTAATGCTTGGAAAATGCAGCAAAATCATCTTCCATGAAGAAATCCTTGAAAAGTTCACTAAAGCCATGATAAACAATACATTTTTAAGTGTGTGAATTAAATAATGGAAGAATTGTTAAAGAGGCTTCACTCTTACCATGTGGGAATCCAGCCTGATGATGGTGGCGCACGCCTTCAATTCCAGCTCTCAGGAGCTAGAGGCAGGTGGATCTCAGTGAGTTCAAGGCCAGCCTGGTCTACAGAGCAAGTTTCATGGCAGCCAGGACTGTTACACAGAGAAATCCTGTCTTTAAGAACAGGAGGAAGAGGAAGAAGAGGAAGGAAGGAAGGAAGGAAGGAAGGAAGGAAGGAAGGAAGGAAGCAGGCAGGCAGGCAGGTTAAAAAAAAAGTGGGAATCATATGCTAAATGAATTGTCTAATATTTGGATTCCTAAATCTAAAAGCAAGCAGATGCAACACCAGAAAAATACAGACACTAAAATATACCTGTTTGACTTAAGAAGAAGCAGAGAATTAAACAGATAACATTCAGTTAAAAGTAACTGATTAACCATTTGCCCTTGATGGCTCTCCCTCCCAAGACTCCATCAAAATCATAGGAATTTAAAAACAGTAATAATAAAAGACGTAGACTCAAAGCAAAGAGTACAAGAGGGAGGCCATCAGAGAGTGGTAATGGCTGAATTGGTGAGAGACAGGGAACATAGAAACCCTCTAGTCCAGAGAGGGAGCCTTACCCCTCCCTCACCCCCACCACCCTGCTCCCACAGAGCCCTAGAAGCACAGAATTCAAGAAAAGCAAAACTCAGGGAAGGGCCAGATGTGGCTTGAGGCTGCAGGGGGAGGATCCAGCTCCCACTCCTGCTCTCACCCCTAAGCGCAGAGCAAGGGACAGGCTTGCACTGGTACTGTGGTTTTCAGCATCCTTTTGAAAAACTTGGCAAATGATACACCTTATTTCTCCGGAATCGTGTTCTGATGTTTGAAATGTACTTTATTTAGAGATTAGGATCAGAGGGTGTGAACGTTTGCAAGGACCTCAGAGATCCTGCAAACTGCCATGTTGCTAGGTGATGAAGATGAAGGTAACAGAGCTGGCCATGTCTCTCTAGCGCATTCTGAACTTGTCCCCAGCCTCCAAAAGTTTCTAGCATTGTGCTTTCCTCATAAAGTCACTGTGGGGGTAGGGACTCTGATAAGACTCTGCCTACCACCCTCAGCCAGACTAAGGTACCTTCTGAGCGGTGAATGCAAGTGTGCTGATTGTCACTCAAGAAGAAGCCTTCTTTGCAGCGGCACTCATAGCTTCCCATGATGTTGATGCAGGTGTGTTGGCAGCCACCATTGTTCTCCATACATTCGTCCACATCTGGAGGGAGAGATGGATCCAGATTCGTTTTCACGGCTGTTTCAAAAACCCCTCCCAGCCAGGGGGGCTCAGGGATTACTGCTAAGAGACTTCCCCTTGTCCCTGTTTCATAGAAACTCTCAAAGCTAGAGCCAAAGGAGCCTGTGTTTGATTCACTCAGCTCCCACAGGCCCATGGGTCTGGGGATCACCTAGACAAGCCCCTGAGGCAAACACAAAATTATCAGTTCATAGAAGTCATGGAACACCTTCACTTTCTAAAGCACGGCGCTAGATGAGCAAGATAATGCTTAGCTTCCTGAGAATGCCTTCTGGAGCGAGAAAGACAATGTACAATGGATCCTAAGATAAGATGAAGGGTGGGACAGGAGAAGGAAGGTAGGTGGCACACGTGATTGTGTGCTATCAACACGGCCTTTATGGGAAAAGCTGATAAGGGATGGGCCCTTAGGACTCCTTCAGCTATAAACCTGGAGAAAAGAGATTCCAGGCTGAAGGGCCAGAGCCTTCCTCTTGCACAGAGGCTGGGAAGCTTTGCGTGTGTTGGATAGCAGTGAGTCATTCCGTTTGGCGGCAGCCTGGGAGACGTGGAGAGAAGTCACAGGAGATACATTCAGGAAGATAGATTAAGATCACAGTGCTACCAGGTCTTAAACATCAGGCTAAGAAACTCTTGTTTTATTTGGGAGGCAGTTAGGGAGCACTGGAGTTGGGTGACACAGTCAGGCCCCCTTTGGGAAATAGAAGGCAGCTGGAAGGGTAGAGGGAAAAATGGAAAGCCTGAGGTCTGGCACGTGTGTGTCAGCCCAAGCCAGCCTAAGCCAGTGCTGTGGGAAGAAACAGAACAGAGCAGCTGTCCTTGGGGATAAGCTGGAGAGGCAGGCAGAGAAAACTGCTGGGTAGACAAGATGCCCCAGGGAGAGTGTCACTTTTTCAGTGACAGGAAGGAGGCTTTCTAAAAAGACTGACACTGGTCTCAGAAGTGGGAATGGAGACATGGTTGCTCCCTTCCTCCAAGGTAGAGACAGACATTATAACATGCTGAAGAGCAAGGGCCCAGCAGGCATGAGGCAGCAGAGGGATAGTGGACAGAGAACACTGTAGGGTGGTGTGAACACAGCTTCGAACATCATTCACTTGCAGATGAGAGGCCCAAAGCCAGAAACGTGGTAAAGCAGAATGGTGGTAAAGAGAATTCCAGACAGTGCCAGGGGCAGGGAAGGGGGGGTGTCAGCAGGAGTCCCCAGAACCTGGGAAGGCTGCTGCAACTCACCCCTTAGGGAGCATTCCTTCCACCATGGCCTGAGACCCAGCACAGCTGCACCAAGCCACTGCACTGCCCTCCAGTACTCTTTGTGGGTCCCCACTAAGTGTACACTCCTGGCAGATACAGATTTTTATTATACAATGTAATATAAAATAGCATTCATTAGTAGAGCACCGGACAGGGTAATGTTCACAAGGTCAGTGAATGAGCAACAGAGTGCAGATGACCAGAGCCAAGGAGGAAACTTTCAGAAGTACCTTAGATATCACAAAGGCTCAAGAAAAAAACTTATTTTAAAAAATTTTGTTTTCCTCCGGCTTCATACATCATGTACCTATCACTGACTCCTGGGTGTATCTGTAACTCACATTTAAATGTCTGTTATCTGGTTTCAAGCTTCAGATCTTACAGGCATGGGTCCTCCTACACTATAGAGCAATAGTCTCCTAAACTGATGGGACTGTAGCCATCCCCTGAAGCCTAACAAACTCGCCCTGTCTATGCCAAAGGGTGAAGGAAGCACATTCCAGAACAGAGGCCCGTGCTGGGACACCTGGCCTAGGCATTCTGCAGTGATGGCTCATGGTGAGCAGGAAAGGTCTGTCTCCCTGGCACGCCTGGGAGCTCTCCTGAGCCAGCCGCCACAGCCCCATCCCATGTGTCACTTACTGCATCTTCTCTCCAAACAACCAACAGTGTGTTATTAAGATGGGTGACACACTAAGGTAGAGTAAATACAGTATGTTCCGGAGACATCAGTGTGTCTGGACTCCCATGAGGCCTGGGCGGGGGTGCCGGTTAAACCTCTCAGGAGAACCGCTGCTATAAAGCCAAAGAGTCATGATATAGTGTGCCATGACAGGAAGTGAGTTCAGGTGGGCGGGAAGAATTGTGTTGTTTCCCATGTATTTGTTTCCCAGACTGAGGGGCTTGCAGCTGGAGGTTGTATCAGGGCTCAGAGGCGTTTGCACTCTGCATGCTGCCTGGTATGTTTGTAGCTAATGTGTTTAAGGGTCTGGCCACGGGGAAGGAATCACCCCCAGAAAACACAGGAACCTGCCACCCCAGAGGAATTTGGGCTTTGAGCTCTTTCTTGTCACAAAGTGTGTAGGCCCCAAGAAGTCCCTCTGTGTGCTGGTCCCGCTCTTCCAAATGGACTGCATTCCCTCATGTCTTTCTTCATCCTCCGCCATCTCTTCTTGCTTCTCCTCTTCCTCTACCTTAAGACGGGCCAGAGAAATGCCTCAGAGGATGAGAGCAATGGCTGCTCTTCCAGAGGACCATGGTTCAATTTCCAGCACCCACATGGCAGCTCACAACTGTCTGTAACTCCAGTTCCGACACCCTCACATAGACATACATGCAGGCAAAACACCAATGCACATAAAAATTTTACAATTAAAAAAATATTCTCCCATCTGAACTATATCCCCAACCCTCTACCTTCCCTTACAGACTCCTCAACCCTTGTGCACATGCTCAGTGGACACCTGGGGTCTCTACAAAGCGGATGCTCCTCAGAACCCATGAAGAGACCCCAGGTAGGTGACGAGCACGTTCTGCTGATTCATCTGTTACTGGCTAATCTGTGGGCATGCTTGTGTTCAGAAAGCCCCAGTCGGCCTTGACTGACATTGTTCAACCTGTTGCTCTCAGGGAGCTCGTATATTCCACAGTGATGACCAGGTCAGCCATCAGACAGTAACCCTCAAAATGGCACTCTTGGCAAACCAAAGGGAAATCTTCCCCCAACAACAGCAACCAAACCCTAGCGTATATGTTGTCCCACAAACTGAAGCCTTGTCTGAATTTTAAACTCTTGCGATGTATTTCTGTTCTTGGGGTTCTCTCTCAATGTATTCTTTTGAGGTGCTTAGGAGGAGTTTTTCTCCTCTAAGCTACTCATAATGTCTGACTAACAACTGCAGACTTGGAAGCCCACATGACCTGTGCACTCAAAGTCTGTTCTCTCTCTCATGGGCACAGACAAGAAAAGCCCACACCAGGTAATACTGAAATATCATATTGGGGCTAAATCCCAAATGAAATGGTCTCCTTCTCCCCCCACCCCATAGCCCAACCTTTCAAATACAAGTTCAGCCTGGACTTAGAAAGAGAGGAAGGGAGATCATGTAGGTGTCTGCATGTGTGTATGTATGTGAGGTCATAGCTCAATGTCAAATGTCTTCCTCAGGTGCTCTCCAACTTATAATTTTGAGTCAAGTTCTCTCACCTGACATGGAGCTCATTAGCTGGACTGAATCATCTGGTCAATGAGCTCCAGGGATTCCTGACTCTGCCTCTGCAAGGTGGGATTACAAGTGTATACCACAGTGCCAGGTTTTACATGGGTACTGGAGATCTGAACTCGTCCTCAAACTTGCATAGCAGGGTCTTTACCAATTGTGCCAGCTCCCTGGCACGTCTAGGTCTCTTGAAGCTAACCTCAAGGCATTTGATCAAGGGCCAATTCCTACCACACCATAAAAGAAGATCTGAATATCTGTCCCCCAGAGACAGAGCCTGGCTCAAGCTGCTCCTTAGTTGGTCAGCAGGTCAGCCCCAGAAAGTGTTATCAGCATAACGCCTCATGTGTGCCGAGCTCATAGTGCGAGCCTAGCAAAGCAAAAATACCCGCCCGGTGTGTGGCTTCCTCCCAGACTAGACAACCTCAGCCCCATCTGCCAGGACAGATGGACGCCTAGGTTCTGACCTAGGCTCGCATGAGGAACTGGTGGAAACACTCTGCTGTCTTCACTTCAGGAGCTGAAGTGCCAAGGGCTATTCCTGCCTTGTGGAATCATGGAGCATGCTCACAGAAAGCTTTTGTTTGTCTTTCAATAAAAAATAAAAAGTATGGGGATCTTCCTGGCTGTGACCCAAAACATATCTGAGACAAGAATAAAGACACAATATTTAAAGGATAGTTGGAATCCTTTCAACAGAATACCTAAGGTAAAAATGGCAGTAAGTCAGTCTCCTTGGATTAAAGCAATTTACCTACCCAGTTTTCTGTTACATAGACTAATGTCTATGGGGCCAAAGCCCACATTTCCCTGTCCCTTTGATCCCAGGCTGGCCTCAAGTTGGCTATGTAGCTAAGGATGATTTTGAATTACTGATCTTCCTGCCTCTATCTCTTGAGGGCTAAGATTACTGACATGCACCACCATACCTGGTTTTGCAGCAGTAGAAATGGATCACAGGGATTTGTGCATGCTGGGCAAGCACTCTGCTGACTGAAATGTATCCCTGGTAAGTTTTCAAAAAAGAAAGAGGGTGCTAGAGGGTGGGAAGACTGCCATGGTCAAATGTTTTTCTTACCAAGACAATTATGACCGTCATGAGCCAACATGAAGCCATCGAAACAGGTGCAGCGATAGTTGCCTGGAATATTTAAACAGTCATGTACACAGCCTCCATTGAGCTCATTGTCACATTCATCCATATCTGAAAAATAAAACAGAAGTGAGCCAGTGGTTGCTATTTCTTTGGGAGACATATGCATGCATTTACCTATTAACCAGCCATCCCACTTCTTAGAACCCACCCAAATAGAAAAATAAACAAGCACTAATCATTTATTGTTGTATTGTTTGAAATTACAAAAAACAAGAGGCAACCTAAAAATTCATATTTAGGAAAGCAGCTTAATGGATGTTAACTGGAAGGAGATAATCTTAATTGAGAAATAATACCTCTATAAGATCAGTTGTAAGGCATTTTCTTAATTAGTTATTGATGGGGGAGGGCCCAGCTCATTGTGGGTGGGGCTGCCCCTGGTCTGGTGGTCCTAGGTTCTATAAGAAAGCAGGCTGAAAAGAAAAAGAAGAAAGGAAGGAAGGAAGAAAGGAAGAAAGAAAGAAAGGAAGAAAGGAGGGAAGAAGGCTGAGAAAGCCATGAAGAGCAAGCAAGTAAGCAGCACCCCTCCATGACCTCTGTGTCAGCTCCTGCCTCCAGGTTCCTGCCCTGTTTGAATTCCTGTCCTGACTTCCTTCAGTGATGGACTGTGATATGGAAGTGTAAGCCAAATAAACCCTTTCCTCCCCAGATTGCTTTTGGTCAGGGTGTTTCATCACAGCAATAGAAACCCTAAGTCATTGTCCATTTACTTGATGTAGTACTATGTAGCTCTAAAAAAGAATGAAGATGGCCACTATGAAATCATTTGAAATCATTAGCAGAATATACTGTTAAATGAAAAAAAGATCAAAAGACAAAAGAATGCCCAGAATATGCTATATCAAGACAACATCAAAACACACACATGCATACAAAATTTCAACATGCGTAAAGTTTATTCGGGAACAAAGAGACTCAGAAGAGCTAACACTTTTTTTTTCAAGACAGTGTTTCTCTGTGTAGCCCTGGCCGTCTGGGACTCACTCTGAGCAGGTTGGCCTTGAACTCAGAGATCCACCTACTTTTGCCTCTTGAGTGCTGTGATTAAAGGTGTGCACCACCATGCCCAGCTCACCAGATACCATCTGAAACCAGGTGATCATGGTTAGTATCACCTAAATGGGACATAGTGACATCATATATTTATGATTGGTTTATTGAAAAGGTCATTGTGGTATTTCTGTGACAGCCTTACTGAAATGCCACCTGATCATATCATGAGAAGACACAAGACACTCTATTCTGGTTGGTCTTAAATACAGTGTATAGCCAAGGCTAGACTCAAACTCATGGCAATCCTCCTATCTCAGCCACCATGCCAAGCTCAATCAATTCTTTGCCTCTTAATACAAGGCAAATGAACATAACAGTGTTCATCAAAGTGTCGGTGTTGGGACTGGAGAGATGGTTTAGCAGTTAAGAGCACATGCTGCTCTTGCAGAGGACCCAGGTTCAATTCTCAGCACCCACATCAGACATCTTACAATCATCTGTCATTCCAGGGGATCAGACATCCCTTTCAAGTCTCCATGGGCACCTGCATATGTGTGGCTCAAACACATATAAAATAAATACCTCTTTTTTAAAAGTATTTATGTCAGGGCTGGAGATGCTTAGCATGAATGAGACTCTGAGTTCAATCTTCAATATTGCATAAGCCAGGAATGGTGTCCGATGCCTGTAATCCCAGCACTTGGGAGGTGGAGACAGATGATCAGGAATGTGAGGGCATCATCTCCTCAGCTACACAGAAAGTTCGAGACCAGCCTAGCTACGTGAGACCCTATCTCATAAAAAGTTGATGTGTGAGACAAAGAAAGACTACGAGTACCTGGAATTAGAATCTGGAGAACAGAACATCAGGGGAAATATGATGAAATTATAATGATATTTACAGGTTTGTTTTTTTTTAATGACGCTGTGCCATTGTTAATTTGGTTTGGGTGATTATACTGTGCTTTTGTAAGCTGATAGCATTGGGATAAGATGAGCGAAAAATGCCCATGAGCTTTGCATGGTTTTGTAACCTTTCTGGTCTAAAAGCATTTCTAAATGAAAAGTTCTCTTAAAAAGAAAAAAATAAATTTTAGAAAAGTGAAAGAAAAATAGGAGCTGAAGAGATGGCTCAGCAGTTAAAACATGTGTTGTTCTCATAAAGGTGAGTTCAGTTTCCAGCACTCATATCTGGGCTTAGCAACTGCCTATAACTCTAGTTCCAAAGGATCTGACGCCTCTAGTCTCCAAGAATACCTGACCTTACATACACGTACTTATATATAGACACACGCAAACACATGACTAAAAATATAAATAAGTAGAGGGCTGGAGAGATGGTCCAATGGTTAAGAGCACTGGCTGCTCTTTCAGAGGTCCAGGGCTCAATTCCCAGCACCCACATGGGGGCTTTTGCCTGACTATAACTGTAGTCCTATAAGATCCAATATCTCCTTCTTGTGTGCAGATGTATATGTAGACAAAACACACACATACATAAAATAAAACAAATAAGTAAATCTTTTATAAACATAAATAAATAGAAACATATAGCTGGATGTGAGGGTGACACCTACAGTCCCAGCCCTTGGATAGGGCAGGAGAATCAGCCTTGGTTGTATGTCTGAGGCCATGCTGGGCTACATGAGACCATGTCTCAAAAAAAAAAAATTTCAAAATCAAAACCAGAACAGCAAAACCCAAGAACACCAGGCACCACTGGATGTTATATATTGTCCCACACCATGAACTGGACTTCTCAGAGGCCACAAGGTCACAGGGTCATTAGAAGCATCAAGACATGAATACTAGGCCACCAAATGCCACTCAAGCACACAGGCCCTAAGTTTTTCTCCTGCCTGAAGACGTTAATGTGGTTTTCCAAGGGCTTAGACGAGACTTTCTAACTCACTATGCATATTTTGTTCCATCAGGTGTTCAGATCGACTCTCCCCAGGAGTTAAGTGCAAACCGTAAGGAGTTTAAAACCTCTCTGTGAAAGAGGCCTCCAACATGCTCATCACGGTTGGGTGCAGAGGCAGGATCATCAGAGCGGAGTTCAAATACCTCTCATCAGTTTTATGGGGGTGTCTTGTCCAACGAGAGAGGCAACTTCAAATTAAGTGAGTATGAAAGACCAGGGACAGATGAGGGTGTGACTTTTGCCCACAGGCTAGTCATTTGTTTATGATCCCCAAGTCCCCTGTCCTCAGTGTTTCCATCCATAAAATGCACAATGGAAGTGGCCCAAAGTTCCCTGAAGAGCCTTGTGTCAGCTAACATTCTACTTCCCCTTATGAGAGCAGTTCCTATCCAGCTGTGAGCTTGGGTTCAGGCAGATACTGAATTAATCCCTGTTGGACAGAGTCCAGACTTCAGGACCTCAGGTCTGGAGCACTAAAGAGCAAAATTCTCTCTCTGCACATATTTCCAGAATGAATTTGCTACTCAAATGAGACAGTGCCTGGGTATAATTCTAAAGTCTAGTAGGTACCAGAAGGCAGGACTCCAGTCCTTAGTCTCCAAGGAAGCAGAACCCTCAGAGCTCTGAGAGTCTGGCTCTCCCGGTGAGAATTGCATTTCCTTTTCCAGAAGCTGTAGAAAAGGACCTTTAGAAGCCAGGCAAAAGTGTAATGAGTTCTAGGGGAAAACTAACGTCCCTGCCCTTGAGGGCCTGAAAATCATTTCCAAGAGCAGGTGGCAGTACTCTAGGTAGAAGTGTTCATTTAACCACCATGAACTACGAGAGCTAAGGAGGTCCCAGAGTCACTTACCATCACACTGCCTGCCCTCCCCTTTGTAGCCAGGCTTACAAGAGCACTTGTAGGAGGTGGGTGTGTTCTGACACAGCGCATCAGCATGACAGTCATCTAGCCCTTGGGCACACTCATCCACATCTGCAAAAGAACACAGCAAGCACCTGGTATGGCTTCCAAGCTGTGAGCGATCTGGCTATCTCTAGTACCACCTCCCATGAGCCCACCCCACTCTACTCTTCCAAAGCCCACACTGCTAGGTCACCCCTGGATAAACCACACCGTGCCCAGGCCCATTGTCAGGCACACTGTTCTAAGAGGAATCACCTAAGCATCCCTTACTGGCCTCCAAGATTCAGTTCAGATCTGCCTCCTCTTGGAAGTAGGCCATAATCCTTAAAGTGGGGAGCATGCCCCCACCACATGCTCCCATATATTTAGCTCACCCGAGGATAGAGTAGTATGCAGTGTTGTCACTGTCGGCTGTCACCTGTCTGTCCACGGGGCCCTAACAACTGAACCAAGCCAGCATCGTGCCTGGCACATGAGACTGTAGTAGACCGCCCGCTAGAGGGGAGGCGCAAGGAGTAGGGCTGGATGGAGAATTCCGGAAGACCGCCAAAACAGCTGTCTCTCAGCTTCTCAGAGTTTAGGATGTAGGGGTAAAAGTTTCCCTTGTCTCTGAGCAAACAGCATCGTGAGCTCTCAGACCGTGCATTGTAGGAATGATGTCCCCGATCCTCCAACCCCAAGTCTGCCGGTTCTCTCAACCCACCGTAAGCAAACATTTCCGGGCTAGACACCACTCTGGGGTATGAAGATAAAAACGAAAGAGTTCTGAAAGAATTTTAAGTCCGGACAGAGCAGACTGTCCAGAGTGCTAATCTATGACTGCTCCAAACCTGGAGGCTTAGGGACATTCCCCGTCTTGACACCAGAGCTGCTCTGTGCTCACAGAACTCTCTCCGCAGCTCATCCTGGAGTTGGCAGAATTTATCAGCCTCAAAGGAGAAAAGCAGGCGAAATTGCCACGAGCCCGACCCTCAGTCGCCCTGTCTACACAAGGGGGAGCTGGACCCCAGACTCCAGTTCCCTCTACTGCACTCAGCCAACCACAATCTGGCCAGCATGCACTCTCAAGAGACCCTGAAAACGACAGGTACCGGAGCCAAGTCAACAGCCTGGAGCAGGAGCCTCGGCCTCCTCGACGGTGGCAGGGGAGGGGAGGATGACTACGGGTGAGGGCTCCCGAGGGCGGGGGACCACGCAAGGGTACCCGGGAGACCCTGCCCTGCGACCTGCCAGGTGCGCCCCCACGGCTGCACACTCACCCTCCAGCGGCCGGTTGGCGCGGCCCGGGCCGGGAGGGACGGCGGCGGCCAGCAGCGGCGGCAGCGGCAGAAGCAGCAACAGCAGCGCTCGGGTCGCCCGAGGCCGACCGCGGCCCGCGACCCCCATGGCAGCCGCAGCGCGCGGAGCGGCGGAGAGCCGGCGACGGCGCGGGGAGGCGTGTGCGGGCTCTCGGCCTCCGCGCCCGCCGACACCTCCCGGCCCCGCCCGCCCCCGAACCCCAGCCTCATTTTCACACGGTCCTCGGTGCCGCCCCGCCCGCTTGGCCCCTCCCCGGCCCGGGGTGGAGGGGGCGAGGCCGCCGTGGCCCGAGCGCCTGGCGCTCCCTGAGCCTGGGCTCCTCTGTGTAGGGCGCCCTCCAACTTGACCGGGTCCTTCCAACCTGAAATAGTCACAGGACACCTAGAGAATGTCCCCACTGAGTCCCCCACACAAGGGGACACTGGACCTCAAACCCAGCAGCCCTCTAACAACACCTTCTTGGGGTTCCACATACCCTGTTAGGAGAATTCCGGACTAGGCTGAGTGGGGCCAGTGAGTCCAGCTGCTTTGCCCAGACCAACACATTCCACTGCTCCTGGCTTTAGCCTGGCCTCTCTGATACCCTAGCCCGTGGCTCTGTGAGAACCCTCTGTCTGTCTGTCTGTCTGTCTGTCTGTCTGTCTGTCTGTCTGTCTGTCTGTCTGTCTGTCTGTCTCTGTCTCTCTCCTCTCTGTATCTCTGTGTACACCCTCCCCCCACACACACACAGTTGGGTTAGAGATTGGTTCCTCGTTGCAATCTAGGTAAGTGATTCTTGACAGCAAGGAAGTGAAAGAAAAAAAAGGATCCAGAGGTAGAGTGGTCCTCCACAGGCAGCAGAGCTCCACGCATAAGTGGCATCTATGACCACAACTTAAAAACATCAGATTTGGGGAGCTGCAAATAGAAGCAATGCCCACCGCCTGTTCCTCCCAGCCAGGCCTTCCTATCTTTTTCCAGGCACAGGTAGCTAAGGCCACTACAGTCAGCATCATTCCAGGAACAAAGGCTTAATGAACCCCTAGATCAGTGGTTCTCAACACATGGGTGTCGACCCCTTTGGGATTCAAACGACCCTTTCACAGGGCTTGCCTGAGACCGTCAGAAAACAGATATTTACATTATGATTCATAACAGAGTAGCAATGAAAATAATTTTATGGTTGGGCTCACAGCATGAGGAACTGAATTAAAGGGCTGCAGTGTTAGGAAGGCTGAGAGCCACTGCCCTAGATGCAACTAATGGCCCTATGCAGAGATATGAATGTTCTTATTTGGGTTTCCCTGAATGGCTCTTATTCTATTTTCTCCTGTGAATATTTACATGCATCCTCATGTGTATGTGGACATTTGTCTAAATATACTTACTACACATGTATATGTGTATTGAACAGTAATTCCTTGATAGGAAGAAAACTCATCAAAAACCCCACATAGCTCAAGCACACATGTCTTCTTGGGGCTCTGGCTACCACCTACAGCTTCCCACCTCTGTCTGCCACCCCAGCCCGGGCATCAGCTCGGGGCCCAGGCTGAGCCTGTCTCTTTGGGTGGGGGTGTCACGTATTCTGCTGCTGGATAGAGACCCTGAGAAAAGAACTCTGTGTTTCCCTTTAACCTTTCCTCTCCAGTGAAGGCTGTCAGGTTCCATCCCTTTCTCTGTCTCTGGCTCCTCCTCCCACTCCTTTTGTATTTGGTGCTGAGAGAGACACTCCTCTATTTCTAGTTTGAAGGGTGGTGTTTTGTTTTGTTTTGTTTTAACACATTTGTAAATCTTCACTTAGTGAAACGTTCCCTCCAGGCTTTGTCTTTGTGTCTTTAATGGTAGCCATAAATTATCGCCTTCTTTTCTCCCGGTGCATCAGGCTTCATTGCCTTTGAAACGATCAAAGTTATTTCTTCTGAAAATCCAACTCAAAACTTTCCATTGTATGGCACAGCACTCTTTAGCCCCAGTCAAAGCATATAAATACACAAAGCTGCCCGTTAAACCCTAAGGAGCCTCTTCCAGACCCCGTGCCTGGTAAAGAAGACCGTTGCTGTTTGTCCCCTCCTGGATTTCTCCAAGTTTGGGTATCAACGGGAATACAAATTCATAATGATACGGCCTGGTGCTTTTTGCCTAAGAGGGTCTCTTTTATTTGTTTGCTATAGAAAAACACACTACTGGCTCAGATCTCAAAAACTGTTCTGAATCCAGTCTTATTTGCACTGGCTCCCACATGGACCTGTTTCAGTTGGTAAGCTCCCAGACTCCTGGGCAACCTTTCTGACACCTGAGATTAAAGTCAACATGGCTTATGAGATGGATTTCCATAGGGGAAAGGTGAGGGGGGTGATCTATGTTTTAAAATGTCACCACTGCTGTGTCTCCAGTGACCTGGCTGGTCCTGCACTAGCTGCTTTTTACCCTCTGTTGTCTAGCTGAGGTCCCCACAGGCGCTGGGTCTGCACTGAGACTTCTCCCTGCCACCTCCTCCCTGCAAGCTACAGGCCATGAACCAGGCCTGAAGGGACAGATGGCCCAGCTGGTGTGTAGGACTCTGGCCTTTCTGGAGACAGTGTAAGTGTCCTATAGCTAGGTTAAATGTGGCATCCTGGGCAGCTTCAGTGCCAGTCCTTTCCTCTGACAGAGTGGCTTCTGAGAGGGGGACGAGCCCTCCAGAGCTTTCACAAGCCCAGACTCCTGGCCTTCCTGTCGCCTTCTCTACTGTCTGCTTGGAATTGTTCTTCCTACATCCTTGTCTGGAAAGTTCACTCATTCCCTCAATTCCACAACATAAGTCTCCAGACTGAAGTGTCCCTTAGGTATAGGCCAAAATAGCATCCCATCACCCACCTCAACTGCCTGTAATTCCCTCTCTTCAATATTTTTTCATGTTCAGTGGCTTTTGTATTTCATCTCTTTAGAGCTGTCTGTCCATTCATTGATCAAACTTGTTTGATTTCTTGCCTTGCTTTTTTTTAGTTCTTCAACCACTCTAGGCGCTGTGCTTCTGTAAGCTAGCAAAGGTTTCTCCCATTCTATGGGCTATGTCTTCACTTGGTTAACTGTTTCCTTTGCTTTTTACTCTCCAGAGTCCCATCTGCTAAATGTTAACAAGGTAACACTTTTCTTTTTCTTTTTTATAACTTGTTTAACAGACATCATTACTTTAGTTGAACAATCTCTATACACAATGATCTCAAGACTGAGTCTAGTATTTTCTGGAAATCAACAAATTCATCCTTTAAAAATTACGAAGAGGAAAAAATCATTTTAAGAAAAGCATCGATTAGATTTGTCTTATCAGGCCTCCAGCCCAGATCTGTGATAAGGGCAATACCATCTATTTCTTCCATACTCAAGCAAGCGCACTGTGGGAAACTAGTCCACGGCACAGCACAAACAAAACAATGTGATGGTATGTGTGGCCTTTGTGAAATGTCAACAATTTCCATTAATATACCAGGGACAAGTAACCCTAGGCACTACCTAAGGGAAGACTGCAAACAAGGAAGTCATACTGCCAACTGATTTTTACCCCCAAGATGAGTTGACTGACCTAGGATTGATCTTTAAATACCCAATCATCCTTATTATATGGCTAGAAGCTTCTTAATGGTGCATACTAACTTGATCACAACTTTTTAAAATCTGTTCAAGTGCAAGCACATTACACCACCCCTAAATATGCCCCACCTCATCCAATGTTTAATCTCTAACCTCAAAATACACAGGTATCAACACCGATTGCTGGGCATCAGACTCATACTCCAGAGATCCAACAGAACAGGAAACCTCTTCCAATTTCACCTGAAAATGGGACATTGGATTCAATTTTCTAAAATGTGGGTTATAGTTGATCTCTTTTCTACACAGACTCACAAAACAGGTTGGAAGCTTCTCTTCCTACAGATTTCTAAGCAAACTCCAACTCTAAAGGTTGTATTTGTCAAACTCCCAAGCAAACAGCCACTTCAACGAACCAGAAGATTGCATAATCCCAACAAAGCTGTAGGTTCTATAACATGTACCCAACACATCTATAGAGTAGTCCTAGGATTCCTTTTACCTGATTCCACACACATAGGATACCACATGGTGTAAACATCATACACTTAACCCCCTAAGTAGATAATGCAGACAGAAAGTTTATCAGAAACAAGATAACACCATCACTTGCAGTCTTCAAACATTGTTGCACTTTAACTGCTATAATTCCACAAAGTATTCATGACAATCTGCAGACTAGTTTTAACAGACAAATAACACTTTTAAGCAGTCCTAATATGACAGTCCTAAATTGTTTATTGGGTATGAATTTTACAAACATCACGTATATTAGAGGTAATGGTGGAGCTGCAGAACATTGCACCTTCTCAGGGCTACACAGCAAGAACCACCAATAGTGTGGTGGAACTTGTGGGCCTTTTCAAGACCACAGCTCTTGCAGCCAGCAGATGTCAGCCCACGCATCTCTCTGGTCTGGTGATCCACAGGGTGTCAGGGTTGCTTCTGATAGCTTTATGGAATGGATCAATGAGAATAATCTCAAAAATCTCATATGTGGAATTTTCACCAACCCAGTAAGCATTCAGGACTCTCAAATATAACACTTTCATACTTGGTTTCTAAGTGTGTATACTTTTGCTTTGCAAGGCTTTGGTAGTTGCAGATACCACCAATTCTAAACATGGTCCATGACTTTGCTTTGTTTTGTAATGAGTTATTAACGACATTTCTTGCCAGAGTGCCTACAGCACCCGTCTCAGGACTCAGAGCAGAGTTAATGTTGGTGCAGACATCCAAGGGGGCTCCAGGCTGCCCTCATTCAGATTCCCTTTCTTCTGTGGCATTGCTGCTATTTCCACAGTCTCTGGATTAGACAGCATAGGTCCAAGAGCCCCACAATGCTGTGCATTCATTCCAAGACATACACAAGTTCCAGGCAAACAACCCCAAGCCCACAAGTGACAACTCAGGTATCTCAGCTACTCATAATTATGTGATGTCATTCCACCAGACCTCACTTACAAAGCACAAATCTGGCCGAATATCATGATGTCCACCTGTAATCCCAGCACTCCCAGCACTCAGGGAGATGA